TTGAGACTACTTATCACGTGTCATTTCGGTTGAATCCAATAAAGAACATTGGTGGAACCCTTTCTCCCTTTCATTCACTAGTACTCGCGTGTATCTATAGGGTGTCAGTGAAGTTAGTAACCGCGAGATTAATAACAATAAAATCGAGTAAAGTATATCTTTTTCCTTTCTGGCAGATTGAAGAATTTTTTTTTTTTTTTTTTTTTTTTTCATAAATTTTAAAACTAAACTTTGCGCCTAAATTAACAGAGTTTCCTCTAAAAGTAGTTGCAATTTATATTGGACAAGTTTCCACGAAATTCTGTATCTGATAAGAAGTTCGGCGTTACGTCAACACGTAAGACACGCGTACACGACAGAAATGTAAATTTAGACATTGATGTTTTCCTTGTCTGTCCCGCACATTGTCCTCGAACAATTCTTAACAATCGAGAATTTACAACCAATAAACGTAAGAACGTTTGATCTACTTCGTACCAACAAGATTATAAATTTCAAAGAGATCTGTCTTCCTCTGCAGAATTTCGAGCTCGAAACAATATCCACGAAATGGCAATTGTAAGATCGAAGTGTCGTTAACAAAAACGAATCATTCGACAAAGCTATGGATCATGTACAGTCGAATTCGCAGGTGTGTCGAATAAAAAAAATTCACCTCACGAGATTCGGAGAAAAAGAAAGATCATTCGGACGATGCAGGGAACGCGCATGCGTGCGCGCGACTAACGCATCCGTCGCATTTTATGTCAGGTGCATAGCGATGCAAGCGTGCGGCTAACACGCGACCCGATCAGTATGTGCAATGCGGCCGTAGACACGATGTTTATGGAAAGATTTCGAAACCGTGCTCTCTATCGTCTGGCAGCCGTCTAAAGCGAGTCTGCGACACGGCAGACAAGTATCCCCGGGGCGAGACACGCTTCGCTTTGACCTGGTGTGTTTCATCATTAAAACACGTTTAACATGGCCGGGCGAACGTGTACGATGCACCCGTGAGAACATGAATGAATTTCATCTGTTTCATCTGCAATCAAAGCGGCTCGCCAGAATTCAAACTTCCCTTTTGTGGAACGAAGTTCGCAAAATCTCGAAGATTCTCTCTCGCGGTTTTCCCCACTTCTTGAAACTATCTTTTTGATCTGGTTGCCACGAAATCGCCAGATCTACTATCGCTCTTCACTTTGTAATCACGCGCGAAAGCAAGATCCCAAACTTTGTGTGTTTGGTGAACAAAATGATTTTCGAGGCGAGTCGGTCAAATTTTCGAATTTTTATCCAAGAAACTATGACACAGACGACGATTCTTTCTCCCTAACCCTTTGCAGTCCGAACTATATTTAACATTTCGCTTCTACAGTTCACGCGTAATTCAGCTGTTTCTAGTAGCAACCTATGGTTTATTTATATCTTCGTATTTAAATGGTTAGAAATACGTGTGTACATTTTTTTCTAACACGTGCATAATTAATGTGTAACAACAACTTCGTTTTATTTTATTATCTAGAGCTCTCTCAAAGAGCGTTACTGGATTTTTCTGTTATTTGTTATTTTGAAATATAGTATAGTAATCCTTGATGTAATATTACGTAAGGTTAGAATGTTATGTGAATATAAAATTGATTTAATGACACGACGACTGTAAAATTGCTGCCTTAGACAAATACGAATCGTAATGATTTTTCGATTTATAGAAATTCATTTCAAATTGTTATATTTATGTTATTATTATATTATTAGTGTCAACTAAAATTGATTAAGCATCGTTCATTTGATCAACGTTTTAGAAAAGATCTAGAACAAAGATAGAAGTCCGAAGATGCAATATCTTTAAATTACACTAACATACTAAACTCGACTTGATCCGATCCCTTTAATCTCCCGTGATACCAAAGACACACATGGCGATGTAGCGTCACGAAATTACACCTTCCCTATGCGTCAATAATAATAATAATCATTTCTCTCCAATTCTCTTTACGAACATTTTTCAAAATTACTAGGTACTTCTATTCCCAATGACTTCTAGTTTGTAATCGATTAAATTTTTACAATTGGATTATAAGTAACGAGAGAAAGAGAAACGAAATAAAATGAAAAACAAAGAAATGTTCCAGCAAGGCGGGTATTGCAAATGCAAAAGTAAAAAATCAATTTCTTGAATATGAATCATTTCTCGTATCTGAAATTGATCTTAAATTAATCTTAATTGCGAATGAAATGTGCGATCAATCACTATTGAATAATCAGCTCATTTATCAAATTTTTCCCCTACTGAATGATCGAATTACAGAAAAGATCGATATCCCGAAGAGAAATTCTCTCGAAGATCATATTCCCTGGAATTGTTGCGTTATTATTATCTTATCCACTGAAATTTTACGCAATTTAAACAGCGTTTTAAATTTCCATTTTATTTGAAAACCTCAGAACCGATTTCCTGAAAAGTTTGCTTCTCCCAGTTATGCTATTTTCGAGCAATTAAATCCAGTCAATCATCAGTTATCTTTGTAGTCCTTATTACTGTCATGTTCCCAAGATATCGGTATAGTTTGAAAGATTATGACAAAAATTCAATAATAGTGACATGTTTCCAGGATTAAGATACTTGTTTGAAAATAATTGCAGATCATGATGAAATATTTTATTATCGTTTCGAGGGGTTTTCCAGAGTTAGATCAGAGGATTAAAAATGTCTTACGAGGACGTAATCACAAAACTCATTTAATTATTACTACTACTACAACTTTTATCTAATCGATGTACAATATATCGAACAGGAATTTCAAGTGTCCGAGTAATTGGTCTTTGATAGTCTATGTTAATCTGTAGATAAAGCGAACCTGTAACATCTCTATTAAATTCAACGGTATTTAAATGTGGAACGGCTTTTTTTAGAACACGAGCATAAATTACAGTACTTTTTTGCCCGCGCCATTTTTTTTTACAAATTATGAACTTTAAACTACTATAAAATATTCCAACATTTGAAAACTAAACTCAATGTGCATACATCCAAAGCTGTGATTTTCTGAGAAAATTCTAAACGAGGTTCAAGCATAATAGAAAAGTCATTAGAAGCTCCAAAAAGTATGCGTGTTAACAAACGTTTCACCAAGTATTATTTGCTACAAAATGTAATTCTTGGCAAGTCTGCCAACAGTCTAAAGGGGAGACACTACGGAGTCATGTCGCACTTTAAAAATCAATAATAATCAATACGATGTGGCAAGGTTCATACATTCAAGATAGGAAGTGAATCATCAACTGCTTCTTCTTCTATTTATGCATTCGACGAAAGCTGTGTTATTGTATAACTAAATATGAACAAGATTCGATTTTCATAATGCAGTGGTATGCACATGTAATAACAATGAAACAATCCTATTAATAGAACGTACACTTGACAATTAGACTCGGAATGAAATCCGGATAAAGGAAACTTCCGTGCTTACGATGAGTAACTGAATCAAGTTCAGTATATAGTATATATATATATATTTATAAATCCGAGTCAAGTCCAATACTCAAGTTTCGCTATCACAATTTCACTGCATACCTTTGACAAATTTAAAAAATTCCGATTGAGAATATGTATATACTTTGGCAAACAGCACGTGAGCTCTAATAATATCTAAAGCAGAGCTTAAGCACAATTCTGATCCCGAGTAAGAATAAAGCTTGCAAAAGACAAGTTAGAAATGAAGAATTCATCGATACCATAAATAATAATACTTCAAGTCATACGCGAGTGTGTTGTACTTACTTACACATCGCCCTGGAATGAAAATTGATTAGAGCAATTAAAAGGCGTCGCGCCGTAGACGCTGAATTGGACAGTACAGTAGTAACATCTCAGTCAGTAATCTTAGATTTTTACAGTCCACTCTGCAGAACCGATTGTTCCTTCTTGGTTACGTAATTGGTCATCGCTATGAGTTTGCCACGAGACAAAATCGCTAGCACGATTCAATGTATTAAGCAGTAGTAAAATCAATAATGCGGCATGCCACGTCGTATAAATCGGCTTCGAATCGTCACACTATCGATAAAAAAGGTCGCTGTCTCGTACGTAAAAATCTCTTTCTTTCTTCGCAATTCGAGGAACGTCATCTTCTTTGAACAGGGAGAAGTTCAAAATTAATTAACTTCACATTCCTCCAATACTATTGTATAATAGACGACTTCCTTCCTTCCTGCGGTACAAAGCAACGCGTAAATCTTATCTCCGTGAAATTCTTACTAAAGAGAATTTTACGCAGTTCTAAAATTATAAAATTCTCCTAAGGAATAAATTTGTTTTTACATATTATGTGTTAGATTTATGTGGTTTATATAATTTCATTGATTGCTTTAAGCCACATACGTAACTCGTAGATACATAATATAATATAGATACAGAACACCAATTATTTACCTCAGAGTCCCAACTAACATGATTAACGTCGTACGACTGGCTTTGATATGAGAAAGGATTCTCCGCATTAGCACAACGTTACTATGAATGAATCGTTGTTTTATACATAAGTGGCGATAAAAATACTCCAAAATGTGTGTGTATATATATATATATATATATATATATATATAATAACAACTTATATCACACGATACGTATCACGATTGTATCTATTGCATGTATTGTACGCATGTTATACCAGATGATTGTTGAATTGCTCATATTGTAGAATTTTTAAACTTTTAGATGGCTGAATCTTGAAAACGATACGCATAACTACATTCGTAAATTCCTTTCGAATTTATATTCTGCGTATATGAATAAATTTGGAGGGGAAAAATTACAATGTGACTCCGATACTGAAACGGAGTTTTAAGGCAGAGGCTAGCGAAGAGAGCAAGAGAGAGGACGCTGTGAAAGCACATGTCACGCTATTTCACAGAGATACGTCACAGGGATACGACAATTCGCAGGCATACGTATAACAATAACGCAAATACTAACACGCAATAAACGACTTCAGGAAGCAGAGATTTCGACTTACTTTCATATTGTTCTCGACGATGTACTCGATGGTGCATAGCTGATAGACGACGTAGGCACGGAGCAGTTCTTTCGTGGTTTTGCTCTTAAAAGCGGCGACGGGATCGTTAAACTTCAAATCCAGAGGATCGATCTGTCGTGGTGGAGCCGGCTTCACGTCAGCGGTACTGCCGCCGGTGTATTCGCGGTCGTGCACCTGCACCAACTGCACCGATGGCTTCGTTACGTTTTCGACGAAGCCGACAGGAAGTGGCAGACACTTCCTCAGCTTTTTACCGGCACTGCAACGCGTCACCGTTCTCAAAAACGCCATACCTTGCCGTGGCTCAAATGCGGGAAATGTCAGCAATTGGGACGCTCTATTCAGTGGGGGGAAAAAAAATACCGAGATCCACGCGATCCCCTCGGCCCTACGAGGAGTCTTACTGAAAAGAGCAACGGTGAAAACGTTAGGATTCGAGAAACGTAGTCTGGCCAAGGCGGTTTTTCTCAATGATAAACGGGGTAAATCCAACCTGCCACGATCGAGTCGGAGACCCCAATACCAATAGAGGTATCTCGTCAAAGCGTAGGCCGAATCACAAGGTGGGGTACTCGTACACGTCCAGCGACGTACAAGTCAAGCGCTCACCTTACCACCGTACACCCGATACTGCAATGTATCTATGCAAAACACCCGTTAAAAACCTACTTTAAAAAGCAGACGAATTTTTTTCTTACGGTCCTTTTCCAATTTGTTACTAATATTGCCCGGCCCAGCGAATTTCAATTGTTGTACGTTGCCCCAATTACTATACAGTAACAATAGATGCTGAGACTCTGATTGGTTCGTCGTAGAGGTGTGTTCGTACTGCTTGGTGTGACTGGTCGACAAAATTTTGGGAAATGCCAATAACTGCGCCGTCGTGCTATGCGCACAGTGGCGCAAAACATGCTTTCCATTACCCCGAACATTCAACATTATTTTATTTGATTTATTCCGACGTCTCTTCCAACGACCGTTTGCTTAAATTATTACCAATATATTAAATAATGTTTGACGTTGATTTTTGAATTTCAGTTCTGTTAAAATATTCGCAATAACATAACGTTCATTAAAGTCGTATGTTACGTAAATAGTTAGTTAGTTTTAAGTATGGATTATTTGCAGAGTATACTTAAAAACTAACAAATATTTGGTCGGTACTTTCTTGTTCACAAATATCGCAAGCAAATGTACATAATTAAGTAATATTTTTATAATTTTAATTATTTATTACACCTTGGAACAATGAAAATGCATGAAAATATATTTTAAAATTATAAATTGCCGAATAAACATATTTGGGAATTGTGGACGTATATAAAAATATACGAAATAAAAAAAAACGTAATCAAAAAATATTTACACTGTGCTCTGTATTTTTTATTTTAATTAAAATTTTTAAACATAAATTTGTCGTAGAAAACTTATGAATCATATGATGCAATTTATGTAACAGCACTAATAGTTACCAATCGAAATATATTTTTATTTATAAATATAATTATCAAAATTTTTTGTACTAATGTTAATCGTGCAATAGATAAAAGTATATTATTTCGATAATGATTTTATGATTCATTTATATTTTGTATAATATTACATATGCACATTTTGTTGTTATGTTGACACATACAGTATTAAATGACCAATAAGAATGCTTTATTCAAAATAATTAAGTGTTTAAGTGAAAAAAATCTTTATTGGCGAAGATTTATCTTCAATATAATAAATTCCGTAAATCGTCTTTTATTCTGTATGAAATTTTCTATCTTTTATCATTTTATCAATTTTATTTAAATTTTGAACCAAACATTCAAATTTTGACAGAGTTATATTTAAACAGAAGTAAAATTATTTTTTCTGCCTAAAAATTCAATAAAAATTATTTTATAATTATTTTTTCTGCCCAAAAATATAATAATTTAAAAAATTATTGAAAATTAATATATGCATATATTTAGTATGCAATTTAATAGAAATTCATATTTTCCAATTATTATGCAATACATATTATAAAATTAAATAAGTCGCTCAAGTACTAAGTTATTAAGATAAATTAAATAACTTACATGATATGTTATCATTTATCATCCCTACCATCTTCTTATCTTCACCACGCGTATGTGGAATCTACTACATTTCTAACCTCAAATTGTCAATTGAAAAGCTTACGTAAAAAACATGTCATAAAAAATGTTTCTTTCGAAATGTTATAAAAACGGAAGAATTTTTACTTGAAAGTATAAAATAGCACAAATTCTTTTACAGATTAGATACGTTCGTTAACTTTACAGATATAAAGTTTATAGCTGATATTTATGAAAGTTAATCGAAACAGTATATGTGATGAAAACTCTTAATATATATTATTTATATTCTAACGTGATAATGGTCCAACATACAACGAAACAACATTCTTATATATTTTTAAATGATCATTTATTTTGCTGAATTAGAAACATGGATAATTCTGTAAAATTAATTATATATAAAGGCACCACAATTTTCGATAGCGTTATTGTTACGTCTTATTCTGTGATTAAATATGAGCAAGAAATAAGAAAAACTAAAAATATGTGTCAGATAAATGTTGACACGAACAATGTCAGTGAAAGTAATGGGATACAAATGAACAAAATTTGGTTAAACAAAAAAGGACTGAATGCCTATGTTGTATCAGCATATATTGTGACATTAACTAATTCACAAACATATCGAAAAGCTGCACTTACAAAATTGTTACAATATTTAGCATACAGATTGTTGAACAGAATAAATTCATCAGTTATCTTAATAAGATTACAAACGCCAAAAAGACAATTCTTAGATTACAAATGGCAAGATTTTAACTGCTTATTTAATAACAATTTTTTTAGTATTCTAAATCTATACTACAACATGATTTTTTTAATTTTAGGAATGAAAGGATAACTCAAATGGCAATAGAAAGAAGAGAAGTTGATCATACTATGTCTTGGTTGTCTACTTTGGGTGGAGCATTTTCTGCTTTAGGAGAAGAATTTCAACACTGTGTAAACTTTATTTATTTCATTCATAAATTTCTAATATATTTTCAAGATTATTAGATATCATGTTTGAATGATTTATATTATAATGTGTCATCTGCATTTAAATGTTCTTTTTCTACACAGGCTGAGATGGCTGGAAAAATTTCTATAAAGCAATTTGAATTAGCACTTCGTGTCAGAGATCCCTTTTTAATTGCTCGTTGTAAATTGTACACTGCTTTGAGTTTAATTCAACAAGGCCAGCTAAACAAACCAAAAAGAATGGTAAGGTGTATTTATAAATTTTCTATTAACCAGAATGATATTCGTTTGCAAAATATGTGTCAAGGTATATGGGCAAAACTTAAATATTGTTATAGAATACAAAAGAAACGGCATAAAACTGTCTAACATTAATTACATATAAAATTTTTGAATATAATTTAAAATTAGGCTAATTAAATTTGATATTTATGTTTAGAAATAAATAATGTGTACAAAATATCATTTCCAAAGATGTATTTTTTGTAATTATTATAAATGTTAATAAAAGACATCTGTTAAAAATAATAACTAAACGTATATATTTTCAACATTTTTATTAATCTTTATACAATTATTAAGTTTTTTTTTCAATTTGTAACCATCTAAAATAGAGATATAATCTATAAATGTGAACTCAAATACTACATCATTCAGAAACTTTCCTGTGAAGTATTATGCGAATGAAATGCATATCTATTTAAAACATATCTCTAATTTCATTTGGTTTCTTTGTATATTTAAATCACGCATAATTTATAATGTCTATGTAATATTTAAAATATAATAAAAAAAAAGAAAAAAGAAAAATAATTGTAAGTAAATGTTTCTAAACTATAAATTAAAAACAAAATTATATATGTAATCATTTTAAATTTTAGGAACTATGTTAAATATACAGTTTTAATATTTTAAAATTATAGCAATATATATTATTTTGCACCTGAATAGGTGTTAAATAATTGAAATATCGTATTTTAATTTTCTAAAATTATTTCTTAATCATTTTTAATGAACTATAAAAGTGTTAAAGTCTTAATTTATTGTACTTTGCTGTACCAATGTGCTTAAACTTTATTTGATATTTAATCTTTTGTTATATATACACTTTCGTTAACTAAAATATTTCATCTTGAAGTAAGTTTAAGCTTACATTATTATCAGTGAGCAAGTGTACCCATAGGATCCCATGCGGGTAGAATAATAGCTTCTTGTTTAAATACATTCAAAACGTCTGCAGGTACTAATTTTTTGTCAACAACTGTTTCAAAAACAAATTCGGAAAACCAATCTGCTGTTAGTAATAAATATCCTTTCTGTCCTTGATCATCTCCCCAAGAATTCTCTACCCGAAACTGTTTAATTTTACCATCATTCTGAAAAATTAATAATAATTCAATATATTATACATGATATCAGATATACTTGTAAGAGTTTCTTAACATACATCAATCGAAACAGCTGTAAATGTCATTGCATGAACCATCATAGAATCTCCATAAAGTAATCTGTCTGCTTTCGTAAGATTAATTTGAATATCAGTTCCAAACATTAATTCGAAATCGTATGCTCTCATGTCTTGTATTCCTTGTTTAGCTATTAATCGTTTATTCACGTCACATCCGAACCACACTGGTTCATTTTGCTTTATACTTTCTGCGCATAATTTCATTAATAACTCGGGTGGTTGATTATTATACAGCGTAGGTCTTCCTCCCAAAACATTTCCTAAACAGTCTACGGTGTAAAGTTTTCCATATGGATTAGATGGCCTAGGATCTGTTACTAAGCATACTTTATCATCTACATTATAATAGGGTTTCACATGTTTCTCATAAAATTCTACTGGTGTTATAGGTCCAATACAATTATAATTCTTTGACTTATCATAATACTCCCAAGTAATTGTTTTCGATGGTATGCCTAAACAAATACCGATTATTCGGTAGATCACGACCATTTGTTCTAGAATCCGAGCTTCTAATTCTTCGTCTGTTGCCCCATTGGATACTAAATCTCTCAAAACTTTGGAATATTCTCTCAATTTACTTTTTAAAAGAGTATTCATGCGTGAACTAGATTCGCAATTATATGATTCTGGGAAACAGATTTTAGGAATAAGACCATGTCTATTTATGAGATTAACAAACATGTCCCATTGTCCTCCATCACAAATAGGATCATGTAATAAAAATGACACTAATCGACCATCTACAGGTTCATTTTGTTTGGCGGTTTTTACTATATTATGTAAGAAATAATTGCATCTTTCAACCTGTATAATGAGAAAAAATATTAATAAATAAAAAATGAAATAAAAATCATATATATATTACAAGACATGTAATATTAACTTTATCCCAGAAGAACAAATAAGCTGGACTGAACTCAAACTCATCCAAATTGTATTGCTTCATAAAGGCACTTCTTATAACATTTAAAGCAGAAAATACCCAACATCTGCCAGAATTCTTTTGATTTGTTATAGGTTTTCCCTCTGTTGCAATTTTATGAGTAAACACATGCTGTGTTTCTTGCAAAACTTTTCGCGAAACACAAGCTTCCAATGGATTGATTCTTGTGCATACATTTTGTGCCAAAATGTTGCGATTATCTTCAAAGAATTTTGCACGTAGTTGATCCAAAACTTCCGTGGTTAGAACACCTGCTACTTAAAATTGAAATAACTTTCAGTCTTTGCAGTAAAGTAAAGATACAAATACATTAATTAATTATAAGATCATAAAAATACAAATACATTAATTAATTAATAAGATCATTTTTAATCCAAAAAAATTAACTACTGTTGATTCGTTTTATACTAAAGTGCAACATAAATCTTTATAAGAGTAATGTAATTTTCAAAATTAAAAAATCAAATTAATTATTTAGTTGGCACTCGTGTAAATACTTTTCATTAAATGTATTAAATATATTAATATGCTAATACTACTTTAAACACGTAAAAAAAAATACATGTCAAAAATTATAAAATTAATATCACAATCAATAAATTAAATTTATCACGTCAATAAATTAAATTTAAAATATTTTCAAAATACGTTCGCGAAAATATTTCGTTGTAGATACATATGTTTAACTTAAATATCAAGTATTCCAAACAATTTTATTTCTGAGAAAAAAAAAAATATAATTACTCCTTAAACTGAACAATTAGAGTGTTGTCGCAAACTAATTAAAACTAATTAAGCTTTTTGGAAAATACATATTTTATTAACAGCAACATAACATCAATATAACGAAAGTTAATAAGAACGGGGAGTGGCTAAACAGAACATATTTTCATAAAATTTAAGAATTGCTGTAATAAAATGTCCAATTTTTTTGTAAGCATATTGCACAAATATTATTTTTATGAGAAAGAATATGAATTAAATATATAAATGTAAATAAAAACGCAACTTACAGGCAACCATCGTGATGTATGAATTCTTCTTGCTTTAACTGCAATGGATTCAAGAGTTTCCACCAAGTACTATGTGAAGTTTAGAAATCACGAATATGCATCACGTTTTTGTTACATATATTTCATTCATTTTATAGATAAAACCGAATGTTTGATAGATAGAAGTAATATCATCTGCATTTCGTGATAATTTATGTGCTTTAGTGTTAATAAAGATATTTAAGCAAAAATTATCTTTAGAATTCACCTTAAAAAATTATATCAAAAACCAATCAAAAAGCAAATATTTATATCAGCAAAAGGATAAATATCAAACCTCTGGAAATATTTCTAAAGATATATTTAAATTTCTTTCATATAATGTGATAATTTAGTAATAAGTTATTTTTTAGTAATAATATGATTTTTGATCTACTTATATTTATAATTTAATAAGAAAAATATTTAAATTTCTTAATTATTTACAATTATTTTGAATCATTAATAATATGTAATTTTAATATTTTTATTATAATTTTTATATAAATTATAGACTAGGGATCATTTTTAATTTGAATGAAAATATTATTAATTAGCACTGAAAAATTTAGTGACTTTTTACATAATTTTATATCCATATACATTTTGAAATGTATTGTGCAACTATATATACAAATTATAAATTTTATTACAGGAAATTATTAATGTTATGGATAAGTTTCAAATTATTTTAAGGGCCATATATTTGTTTATTTTTAAACTAATTACAAGATAAAGAACAGATACATTTATAGTATTTTATTTATATTTTATTTGTATATCTGTAAGATATCTTATTATACTTAAAATAACATGATGAAATAATACGAAAATTTCATTTGTTATAAATTTACTATGTACCAAAATCTACTACACAGCTTAAATTCTAATATACAAGTAATGATCACACATATTATCAAGTTTATATTGTTCATCAATTTTTAGTGTTATTTATCCATCACTTTCTGCACAATGTTAGGAATCAATGTTCGTATTCGTAGGTGGTTTCTCTATTTTAGATTCCAAAGAAAATGGTGGAATCCTACAGTCAAATGCATATCCATCTTCCCTTTCCATTCTGAATGTACCCCTAAAATATTACAATAGATTTAGCAAAATATAATATTTAATTTGTAATCAATAATATTATGACACAAGCTGAAAATAAAATCTGAATGAAATACATACCACATGTGACCACTCGCAGCTTGTAAACTCACATGACTACTATATTGAAAAGCAGGTAACATTTTTGACAAGACAGGTTCTTGACCAACAACACCTCGTCCACGTACAGTTTCCAACGTACCAGAAAGGCTAAATATTCTCCAATGTCTTTCACGTAACTGTACACTCAAATCGCCCAAATTTTCCAATCGAATGCAATAGCGCCACTATTTTATTTAATTACAATAGAATTATTTACTTTATGCTAGACTGAATTGTGATTCACAAAAAATATGTTCTATTTACCCAATGTGCAGCTGTAGTTTGATTTCCTCTATAACCCATATAAAACGGAATAACAGTAACACGAACATTTTCAGTAGTTTCTTTATGTACATCTGATAATTCTAACCATGGATGATTCTTCTTTTGCCATGCTCTTAGAGTTTCTTGTGCAACAAAACATGGATCTTGACTTGGATTATATGTTAGAAATTTGTCAAATAGTTCATGTTGCAATGCAGTTTTCTCATTTGTGGTATAAGGTAAAACATCTTCATGAGCAACATAATCCAATCCTGGGACTGTGTATAAGCTATGACTGCTTTCATGGTTACTCAAAAATGTTACAGCTTCTGTCTGAGCACGCTATATATATAAACATATAAGATGATTTATAATATTTTTCTTTTACGTATGTATTTAAGGAATACAATAAGAAACACCTAATAACTCAATATGAAGATAGAATTGACAAAATTTTAAATTTTCTTTCATATAGCAGAACTTGACTTAAACATAATTATTTAGATTAAAATATCCATCGGATATTTAATTTTGATACTTACTATAAAAGGATAATCTCTTTGGTCAATTAATACCTGGTAAAAAGTATGAGTTCTACCTTTCACTTCTTTTCCCACGCTATTATAGTGATCATTTGTGTCACTAAAATTAAATGAAATTTCTGAGTAATTTACATTTTATTTTGTAACTATAAGATAAATATACCTTTCTCTTTTATTTGGAATATCTCTGTCATAAACTCTTGCTGTCCAAGGAAACAATATCACACCTCTGTAACCAAATACTCTGTGTAGAATTAATTGACCAGTTTCATACTTTCCTTGTAATTTTGGTGTTTCTAATTTTCCTACTTCAGCCAATCTGCAATAAGAAGTTACCATAGTATAATTAATAAATAATACATTTTTATAACATGAATAAATTTTTATACAAATATATATTTTTTATGGACACAACTTTTATGGACAGAAATACAGAGCTTAAATATTTTGTTAAAAATTTTATAACAAACACTAGATATCTACTTTATGGATCTGTCTTAAATTTCATATAAATGCATAGAAATTTGCAATCTAGTAATAAAAATTGGTATTTTTTATTTTTAAATAACATCTAAATATTTTAAAAATAAATAAATACTCATTTATATTTCAATCTACTATTAATTATTTACTACAATGTTTAGTGCGTTTTATATATTATTTTTTTTTTATATATGAAATCTTTGTTACATATGTATAACGTTAAAGACACTATGCTTATTAATTTGATAGAAGACTTCATTTCTGCATAGCTTGAATTAGAACAATGTTTATTCAATCAATGTACATATTTAATTTGTTAGGAAGCTTAGATTACCTGATGTGTCTTACATGATACAAACAAAATTTTTTCGGTGCTTTGAGAAGATAACATTTTAATTTACAAGTAACAAGATTTCGCATAAGTTCCATGCTTTTTTGAAATTTAATTTGTTCTTAATACAATTTTTAGTTCAAATTCTGTGACACTGGATCGAAAATACATGGTGTTGTCTTCTTGACATTTTGGTAGCTTTTTTCTACATTACGACACGAGGATCATGTATTCTGTTTAGATACGCATCTATAAAAAAGGTGCATTCTCATGGCAATTTTAATGAAATGAACGTAGACTATGAACTAGTATTCCATACACTTTCATTTCGTGACATTCACATTAATTATAATAAAATTATTTCCATTTATATATAACGTTTGTTTTACTTATTTTCAGTATGAAAAAATTTAATCTCTTCTAAATTGTTTTATGATTACTGGAACACCCTATGCAGATGCATATATATATATATATATATATATATATATATATATATATATATATATATATATATGTGTGTGTATGTGCGTGTGTGTGTGTGTATGCATCTGTACCCACGTGTCCGTATATTACACGTTTTTATAATCTTATGAATATTTTTTTATAATAATTCTTTCAATAAAAATAAGACATACTTGATCAAAATATAGAAAAAGTTTGACAAAATATTTCGTATTTTATTTTAGTCAACTAAAAAACAAGGTTGTTACACATAATAGTTTGTAAAATGAATTGTATGATGCAAAGATGTATTATATTAATGTATAGGAGCAACATTAATTTTGATATTTGTAGCAAAATACATACTATTTTCACAACATCTAATCGCCCGTTAACAACACGTATACTTATGACAAAATCCAGTGCACAATTATATCATAACAATTTATTATACACTAGTAAAATTCAGTTTGAAAAAGTTAAATCTAATTTAAAAGTACTCCCAACCAAGAGTACAGATGATTTTTCTATTACTCAAATAAAAAAAAGATTCAAGAAAAGGAAACCTATTGCTACTAATGAAACAAATGCTGTAAGTAATTGTAGTTAAAATATAAAATATTTCAATTGTTATAGTACCATGAAATCTAATATCCAAAAGTAGAACGAAGTTTCATTTTTTACAAAAGTTTATGTCACTTCACTTAATTTAAATTTGCATTAAATCAAAGTGTAAGATGATGTAATAATTTCGTATAATTAGAATATATTATATATTAATAGAATGTATTATATTCTATATATTTATAGAATACCAAAATTTATAGTTTTAAATTAAAATTTTTGTTCTTTGACAGGCATACAGTGTAAAGGCATTAGCTACTTCAGAAGAATATAATTTGGAAGCTTTAGTACAAGGTCTCACTGAGCAAAAGCTATATATGCCTAGCAGCATAAATACATCAACTAGCTGTAAGTATATTAGAATTAGTATATTCATTTATAATAAGGGATTGAAAATAAATATGAAAGGCTATCTCAAAGTTGAGCTATTAAACTTATACAAAAGTTGTAAACTTTTACATATATAACATTTTTTATCTAATTGTACCTGCAAAACATACCTTTAAAGGTCGACTGTTAAAGTCTGAAAGTATTTATCTATAAACACAACTATATTGTGTTATAAGAAATTAGAAGTAGAGTAGAGTTAGAGCAAGTAATAGATAAAGTAATAAATTATAAACTTACATTAATCAACTTTTGCTAGGATGATAAGTTATTCATTTGTAGATGATATCATAATAAGTTTTCATCAAAATATTGATTAATTGTTAATAAGTTTTCATCAAAATATTGATTACTTGTTATTTTTCATCTATATAAGATACCCAATTTAATTATTCATTTCAGTACTAAATCTAATTTAATACAAATTAAATTAATCAAAAGTAATTATTTATATTATTGTTTATTATGTTCAAATTGTTTCATAGTTAAATAAAAATTCTAGTTCGAGATTTTTTCTACTCTATATATGTATAAATATGTCTTATAATTTACTTGAATGTTCATTTAATGAAACACTAAAATGTTAGAGTTTATTAAAAGTATCTATGTCACATGATGTAATGCATGATATAATAAAAAAAAACTTGGCTATTAGAATTTTACTTACTTTCGACATCAGATACGATTAATTGAAAAAGATAGCCAAGATAATACAATCGTATTATCGCGAAACGTTACTTTTATCTTTGCTAGACTTTGTATAATAACTTATCTCTTTGAAAAATATAAATATATTGTTAATATAAAATACAACAAATAAGATAAATTTAAATTTAAAATTTATATAATTAGATAGATATTATTATCTAAATTTATATAAAATCTGTGGTTTGAAAGGTTTTATCTAAACATCCACATTAAGGAACTATGAATACAATGCTTAGTTTACCTTCTAAAAAAGAAACTGAAGAGTTGATAGAAAAAGCAAAAGATTGGGCACTTATGCATGGAGTATGTATGAGGTCAAAACAGAAATTGAATAAAAATGTTTTACAATTTGCCCCATTTATCTTGATGCCATCTCCATTTCCTAAAAAAGAGTTTGAGAATGCTTGTCAAATTCAAATAGTATTAAATATACTTATACACAGAGTTGCTCAAGATTACAATTTTTTAAAGGAAACTTTAGAAGAAATAGTTAAAGTTGATAATTTTACTGAGAAGTTATTTGAAATTTGTAAAATTATAAACAGCGAAGGAGGATCTGCACAGAAAGTATCTCTTGGTATATTACGTTCAGACTTAATGTTGGATACAACTTGTTCACAAAAAGATATGATTAAAAAATGTTTGCCTTATTGTTGTTGGAAACAAGTTGAAATAAATACAATTGCATCTGGCTTTGGTTGGTTAGGACCTGCTTCAACTGAATTACATAAATTTGTGTTAAGAGAGCTTGGTTATCACAAAGAAATAAAAAATCTTCCAGAGAATAATGCGTTGCAAATAATATGTACAAGTATGATTAAAGCATGGAAGATATATGGAAATGAACAGTATGTTTTCAATTATATTTTTGTTAATTTTAAAGTTGATATATTATAAAACTTGAAAAAATTAAATATGTATTTAATACTTAATTCTTTGCAGAGCAGTAATTTTATTTGTTGTTGAAGATGTTACATATAATATATGTGATCAACGTTTCCATGAATTTGAAATTAGGAAACAAAATCCAAATGTCAGAGTCATTCGAAGAAATTTAACACAATTAGCAGCTACTGCCAAATTGGATTCTAACAAAGAATTGATAGTGGACAATTATATTGTTTCTGTAGTCTACTACAGATCTGGGTATGAGCCTGGACAATATCATACACAAAAAGAATGGGATGTAAGATTATTAATCGAAAGATCACTAGCAATTAAATGTCCTACTATACAGTATCATTTAGCAGGAACTAAAAAAGTTCAACAGGCACTTGCAAAGCCAGGTGTAATTAGTAGATTTTTAAAAAATGAAAAAACATGTGCAGAGATCAAAGAAATATTCACTGGTAAGTGAATTATTTTACCACTAGTAAAATATGACATTGAGATATCAACTGAAATATTATGTTATTTTGTATAGAACTTTATGCATTAGATTTTGATGAACATGGAGATGCAGCCATAGAAATGGGAATTACAGATCCACATCGTTTTGTATTAAAACCTCAACGGGAAGGAGGTTGCAATAACAAATATGGATTAGATATAAAACATTTTCTAGAATCTGTAAAAAATAAGAAGGACAGAGTAGCTTGGATTCTTATGGATAAAATTCATCCACCAATTCATAAGAATTATATGATTAGACCTGATAATAGTATCAGTATAGAACCCCAAGAATTAGTTTCTGAATTAGGAATATTTGGTATTATAATAGCAAATGGAAATGATATATATGTTAATAAGCAAAGTGGTCATATGTTACGGACAAAGTTAGCTACTGCTAATGAGGGTGGTGTTGCAACAGGGTTGGGTGCATGTGATAGTCCATTTCTAGTAGATTGAAAAATATATTTTTAATAAAATATGGAATAATATTATACATGAAATGAAATTTTATTTTGTTATAAAGATATATTGATCAGTTTGAACTTTATTAGTTAAAGCCAAATTCGATTAATTTATATAGCATATAGATCATATTTTTTAATAAGTATTCTTATAAATCCATATTATAAAATATTATTTTCTATTTCTTTTTCATAGTTAAATATGAAGTTAATATTTTCTTATTTTGATGTATTTCATATATAGTGCATATATTTTATATTGTTACTTTATATACATATATATAATTTTTTTTTTCAAAATGAGCGTATTAACGGCCAATGTATTTAAGGTCTTCCATTTAATTATGTGTAATAGTGCTATTACATTTTATTAAAATAAATACTTGTAATAAATATTTGTAATATTACAAATATAAATAATGAAATATGTATTCAAATAAATATAAAATTATAAATTTTTATGAAAATTATAAAAAATTTTTAAAATCACAATAAAATTAAAAAGTATATATTAATAGGTATTATCCGAAAAATGTTTTTAATTTATACAATGTTAACTAAATGAAATTTTGAGAAACATTTTATATGTAAAAAATTTTTCAAATAGATTTTTGAATCTTCAGTTTATCGATATTTTAAATATTGTAACTTTTATGAAATATACTTTTTTTAAAAACATATGTATTCGGGTTTATTAGATTGTACTTTACTGAGATTATTTTTACAGCTTTACCAGATGTTATACATGCTGTGGCAAAATATGAAGTAAATCATGAACCCAGAGAAATTTTCTTTTTTCGAGAAGGTACTATAGTGATGTGGAATATTTCTGAATTTGAATGTGATAATATATTAAAATTTTTAAAAAAATACGAACAAAATCGTTATACGGAATATGTCGTAAAATCTGAAAGCGAATTAATGTGTTACGGTTATGCAGATTATGGGTAAAATTCATAATTTCTACAATAATTTTAGTTCTATAAATGTAGAATATATTTTATGCTTCAATTATTTTGCAGAAAAAGAAATCACATAAAGGATGGTAACATTATTTTGGATTTAAATGCAACAAAGTTAGACAAATACACATTTTCAAATGCAATGGCACAGTCAGTCAAGTTAGGTATATGGGAAGCATCTTTAGATCATTATATAGATTCCATAGAATTTGTTACTGAAGATTTGAAAGCTGGTAAAAAGCTGAGAATGACTCAACATGAAGTATTAAAGAAACAAGGGAAATTATTTGCTTTGCGACATTCAATTAATTTGAGTTCAGATTTATTAGATACTCCAGATTTCTATTGGGAAAGAGAAAATTTAGAACGTCTTTATCAAGAAACTTGCTCGTATTTTAACATTGCAAAACGCACAAGAGTAAGTTAAAAAAAGATTACTGACTTGTTTATTTAATATAAATCTGAAATAGAATGTTAAAAAAACTGATGTAAAATAAATTATTCTTTATATCCTTTAAATTTTATTTTGTAGGTAATAAACGAAAAATTAAATCATTGCGTCGAACTAGTGGGAATTTTAGCAACGCATTTAAGTGATCGTCATCACCTTCGTTTAGAATGGATGATTATTGTTCTTATTATGGTCGAAGTCATTTTTGAAATATTACATTACGTCGAAAGGTATCTTTCGTAATATATATTATTAGGTATTTAATATTTATTTAAAATATAAGATAATTGAATAGTAATTGTTATTATTTATATTGTATTTTAAATAAAAATTAAATAATAATAAAATAATTATTGTAAAAAGATATAATACAAATAAAATTTATATTTAAAATTTACATTAAAAATTTACGTAATCATTAAATTTTGGCTGAAATTTTTTGTTATTTTAATTAGTAGAATTATTAAATTCTACTATAAATTTAATTATAAACTAAACTTTTCGACATCCAATTGAAGATAAGGTCAGCAACTACGAAATGTAACACGTCAATAATTGTAATGTAGAACAAGGACACGTGTTTATTATAATACATTATCTCTGGTTACATTCACAATTATTAACGTTTAATCAATCAATTTACGAAAATTATCAATTGTTTATTTTGCTTATTCATAATTTTAAATTCAGATTTAAAATATTTCCTATTTAAATCTAAAATTTAAAATTTTATTTTTATCAAATGTAAAAATTGTACTACATAAGAGATGAAAAGTATTTAATAATAATGCATATAATATCTAAAATATGTTTACATTTGTGTTATACATTGTTTTTGTTTCATATATAAAAAAAGAATTGTTACTATGCAACAACATATATAAAGGACAATTACACATACAATTACGATAGTATGTATTTATACGCATGTATTTACACGTAAATATGCACGCGTCATGGTGGAGAAATAAATACTGAATGAGGGATTCTATATATAAACTTCATGTATTTTTTATTAAGTATTAAGGACGTGCTGCTGTATACAACTTTTCAAAGGTTTTACCTTTTATTATCTTATTTTGCAACGATGATTAGAAATAATATATTGCTTTTTAAAAAGCAGTATGCTTTGCAATAACAATCAATTCTAATTTGTACAGACCAGTATAACTCTCATCGAGTTAAATTAAATAGTAAGTTTCACATACATACGATTATATCTAATTTTTGCGAACGGTGTAAAATGAAATAAAATAAATATTGTTACACTAGACAAGCTACATAATTGGATAAAGAGAAAAGGGTGAAGAAGAACAGTGTCCCTGCTGTTTTCTTTTCTGTACATTCAGCTAATTCAATAGAAACACTCTATAAGTGAATTTCTTAGGTACATCCCTGTGAATCGCACGCATGACTCGCACCCTTCTGCGCCTGTATCGAAAGCGAAGTGGAGTTGTAGGCCAGTTTCAGCGATAATAACAGCCACTTGTCGGCTAGCTGATACCGTGACAAGTTCAACTCTGTGCTTCGTGCGTACAATAGTATTCTGGGAGATATTACAGACATTAACATTCTATATTGTAAAATTTAAAATTCTTTACAAAGCATCCAACTGTTCCAAGGTATGTCAGCGGTCATTCACTTTCAAATTAAACGCTACATGTTTAAGCGTATCTATGTACTTTTAGTACACATATATGTATAACATCGCACGATCTCAAACATCCTTAGCAATTTAAAAAACACCAAATTTCATTTCATGTATGTGCAAAATGACAAATTAGTTAAATTCATTCATAACATTGGATGTCATATGTTTGATGTTACATTTGGTTTCTTTTCTTATGTGCTTTTGAAATTGTGTAGCTTGTGCTGATGAATTTAATCGTGAGAAAGTGAATGCAATTTTTACTTTTATTTTAATTGTATAATTTAAAATATTCATATCTTTCTCTATAGATTTAAATTTATAAATTGGAACTCATTTTTAATTTAATTGAGTCATCTAATAAAATTTTCTACGTTAAACGGTTGAATAATGTTAAATACAATATTAATTGGAGTTGTATGTAGTTTATTGTATTGATGTTAAGTATTCATGCGTTTTTGCTGTTCACGCGTGGAGAAATAGTGAAATCGCTATCAATGCAATCCTACGAATAATGTTGGCATGCGTCACGAGCTTCGATTGATCGCCCTTCAACGTAGGACTTTCACGCTCATTCTTTCTTTCAGTTACGATACGATTGCCACGCGTCATGTATCATTTTCTTTTGTTCTACATACGTTTGATGTTTCTCCTTTTCTTTCCGGTGAATATATCGCTACGATACCAATAACACTATGCTGTACCTTATTCTTTTCAACGCGTCATGTAATTTACAATTTTTTGTTAATATATTTATATTTCATACATTTATATTTTTATATAATGTAATTATATATTTTATTTTCGACTTGTTTAAGATAATATCTCGTTAGTAATTATGTGTATCGTAGAATTAGTTACATGTTAATATAAATACTTATTTCGACAGTAACTTTTCAAAATTTCCTTCAGTTCAATCGTTCTGCTCGACTCCTTTCATTTTCTTTAATTCGGTAAAGTTTGTTGAATCAAAAAAAGATGCATTTTCTCTCTGTAATTTTCAATCGTTGTATATTCTAAATAATTTTCTCAATTTTCTGATCGCTTCACTTGGCTTTCTTTATCTTTCATTTAAAAGACGTTCTTTCGCAACTTAAACATATTGTAGCGGTGCATTAAGAAAGTAGGAATCGTTGTTGTAAGTGCAAACCATTGAAATATCGATTTAGGTCCAAATATAGTCTCCCTTTAGTTACTTAAATAATATACGGACGGAAGTGTAGCGGATACTTGTTGCACATCTATTTTCAGCGGAAATTGTTCTTTTAAACTTTACCTTCTCTCTTGACTCTTCAGCACGATAGTCACGTTCTTCAATATTTTGTTAAATGATTAATTCGACCGAAAGTGGATCTTCATTTTGCTCGTATAAATTTATTTAATTTTAAAATATCGGATAACTTGGTTTCTAGCTTAATAAATTTCTATTTTTATAAAATTTATTGCCAATTTTTCAAGAGACTTAAATCTTTAAATCTACGAGATTGTTCTCTTCTTCAGTTATTTTATATTAAAGCATTTTCTTTCAGCCATTAGGCGATTGCATATAAATGTTAATTTCGTAATATGGATATTTCTAATAAAGAGACGATTAATAAATTCAATTTAAAGCAACTCTTTTGCTTTACATTATTTGCTGGAATTCCTTGATTGGCGTTACACGATGTAAAAAAAACTGTCTTGTTCGATAATGTGAAAGAAATGTTGGGAGATGAATAACGCAGATGTCAGGAATTCCAACATGCTGAAAGGAAAGCTTATTTTTATTACAATATGACGTGTACTACATTCCATTTAAAATAGGAATGTAGATTTATTTCTACGATATGTACGCACAATTATAAGTATGTATAAATATAACAAGTTATTCTTATAAAGCTTTATTGATTTAAACTCCTTTATTTCGAATAATCTTTTTTTTTTTTTTTTACCGGTAAATTTAGAAAATATCTTCTTTATAAGGAGCATTGATCGACTATTAAATTTTTATAAACAATATATTTTATGTCCTTAATCATTATTATTAATTACATATTTCTATTTTTTACAGACTAATGTATATTATAAAGTGCTCGTGATATTTTAAATGATTTCAAAATTCCATTAAATTGAACAATGGACATGACAGTAAAAGATATAAGTGGAGGAACCAGATGGGTCTGTCCAAATGATAGACATTTATCATTGAGAGCGAAGTAAGTATAAAATTTTCAAAGCGAAATATTTATAATATTTTAAATTTACACAATAAGTCATTTTCTATGCTATACTCAAAGATAGTTCCAGAATTGTTTATTATTCTTATTTATGTGTAATGTATGGTAATTAGATGTAGTAGATAATTGATTTTGTAATCAAGTCACAATCAAATGTTGCTTGCATTTTCAATAATTTGAATTTTTATGTATTACCTTGTTTGTAAGATTTTTAATAAAATACTATCAATAATTAGGTTGCAGACAGGTTGGTCTGTAAAAACTGGCTCTTTGGATTCGAAATGGAGTACTTATTCCAACTCCTACTCAAGTGGTACAAATCGATGTGCGCAGTCATTTGTACTAAGTGATGAGGAGCAACAAACAATTATACAGGTAAAATTTCAATATCTGCATTCATTAGTCCACTCCTTTTTAGAGTTAAATAAAAGTTGCACAGAATAATTCACTCGAGAATTTAACAATAATCGAAACGCTATGTTTTTAGGTCATCCAGAGAGCAGAAGCTTTAAATTTATCCGAACAAGAAAGAATTGGCAGATTAGTAGAAAGATTAGAGAATATGAAACGCAATGTCTGCATCGTTACTGCGACAAGATTAAATGAAAAGAAACGATGCGGTAGCAAGTGCTTCAACAGCACACAATGCGTGTGCTCTTGTGCCCTTTGCGGCGAAAAATTCGGCACAGTGTTAGGCGCATCGTCGAATCTTTGTAAAGATTGTCGAAAATACGTATGCCAGAAATGCGGTATCGAGACTAATGAATTAAGCTCATCACTTTCGAATATTTCCACAACGAGAGAAAGAACAGAAGAGAGAACAGCTATGCAACGAATCGTTAGAAGGTCTAACAGTGGCCAGAGACAATTTCTTTGTCGAATCTGTGCGGAGACTAGAGAAATGTGGAAAAAAAGTGGCGCTTGGTTTCTCAGAGGGATGCCAAAATACATTTTACCAGAGAAAAAGGCGCGTAAATAGAATTGTATATGCATCACATTAGTTTGTTAAAAAAATGTAATAGCTTTTTTTAAAATTGTAGGAACGAGGATGGTCGAGATCTATTCACAAGACATCCACTTGGACAATTGGAGGTAATAAATCCCTCGAATCTACAGAACCCCAAGATTCTTCCTCCGATGAAGAAGCAACACGGCGCCTAGCTTTAGCTCGAGGACAGTCTAATTCATTCTCAAGCTTACAAAAAAATCAAGATGGTATTACTAATAAAGCTCATTCGTCATCGTTAAATTCTGCTCAATCAACTAGTAGTGCGTCTAAATCACGAGGGCAACGACTCTCGCCGTTAAACAGCCGTGAGGAATGTTTAGATCAATTAGACAGATCTACTCTGTCTATTACTTCTCAGTGCAGTCGTCTTTCACCGTCTCCCACAAGTCCACGTTCACGAATATCTCCAAGAGCGAACAGTAATGATTCTCAAATTGAACAGCACGTGTCGTTCGAAGATGAAATTATCGATGAAAAGAACAAGAAGCTTGACAATATTAACGAAGCTGCTCGTAAATTAGAGATCAGTTCCTGTGATCAGTCTCCTAGGTCTCCTAGGTCTCCTAGGTCTCCTAAGTACGTGAGAATGAAGTAAATTAATTAATTTTTGCAAAAGATAGTGTATAACAAAATAATATAGATATAATTTATAACACATCTTAATAAAAGAGTGGAAGTTTAGCTGATATCAGTCAATACGTAGCAGGTTGAGTTTTGCAACAGTTCCAATAATATCAACGACGACAGTTATATCAACGGAACAAGTTCTAGAACAGTCTCAGATCTATGAGAAACGCATGGATCAGGAAGGAAGTCGATCCTCCTCGGAACAAGGAAGTCTTTGCAGTAACAATCAAATTGATTTAGTACGACAACAGATGCCAGAATCTGGTAAGTTTACAATCTGATGTTTAATAGGATGAGAATAGTTAATTAAGCTTGCAGGTACCTAATATTAATAAAAGTCAAGTAATCAAATTATATTTCTCAAAATAGAAACGAAGCAAAATTATGGAACTCTGGAAATCTCTTTGCGATACGATCCAACAGCTCAGTGTCTTCATTGCAAAGTAGAACGAGCACGAGGCTTGCAGCCAATGGATATTCATGGCCTCGCCGATCCTTTCTGCAAACTCAACATATTACCAGTGGACACAGTTTCACCAACGAAGCGACTTCGAACAAAGACAGTTCACAAAACGCGGGATCCGGAATTCAACGAGACTTTGAATTTTTATGGAACAACAGACACCGATGTATGAAAAAAAATAAGTTTTCTAAAAATTTAAAATTAAAAGTAAACGGAAAGTGTTCGTACATAAAAAAAAAAATATCTTAGATATGGAATGGCAAGGCATTGCACATCTTGGTTCTTCAAGACGATCTGGCAGGTCAAGACTTCTTAGGAGAAGCGAAATTTCCTCTGCATGAATTACAACCACGTCAAATAAAACATTATAATGTTCCACTACAAGATCATTATCCAGTACGTACTTCAATTCTTTTATTCCTTTTTAATATTAAGTAATAATAATTTTATATGATATGAACGCGTTGCTTTGTTATTTTAATTATTAATTTAAGAAAGAAAATTCAAAAATATTCTTCTAAACGCGAATGCTCTCTTGACGTGCACTATTAATTTGTACTTTATTAATTTTCCTTTGTTCATTTAACATTTCAGAATCGGTAAAGAATCACTGATATTCAATTACTGATCTTCCTAAATATAAATCATTTCTCGCGTTTAAAATTTTTCGCGACGGTCGACTTTACTTACATTATTGCAGACACTAAGATATAAGAGCTCGACGTTGGCATAGGTGGACAACGAAGAAGCAGTTTGGGGCGTGTTTTCCAATGGGCGAGGACAGATTCAAGTGAGTCTAAGTTACTGTACAAGGCGACGAGCATTGACAGTCACAATTCATCGAGCTAGAAATCTTCTTCCTATGGACAGTAATGGATTTTCTGATCCATTTGTCAAGCTGTGCCTTATAGAGAACATGGCAAACAATCATCGACAACGTGTCTTCGACTATTCAATCGCACGTATTACTGCTAAAAAGCTAGTATCGAAGAAAGCTACAGGTCGTAATGTACAAAGTACAACGATTAAATGGAAAACTTTAAATCCAGAATGGAACGAAGAGTTTGCTTTCGCTATTCGATTAACAGACCTTATGAAACTCACCTTATGCCTTACAGTATGGGACAAGGATTTTGGCAAAAGTAATGACTATCTTGGTAATGCATTAATTTTTTTCAATTTAATAATTACGTTGTTATATGTTATATTATGAAATTTATGCATATTTATTATGGCAATGTCTTTCTTACTTTTATTTAGGTGGACTTGAGTTAAGTTGTAATAGCAAAGGAGCACGATTACGACATTGGATAGACGTAATCAAATTTCCAGACCATCGTCATCAAGCTTGGCATAACTTAATCGATACTATTTTGCCTATAGAATGATAATTTATATTTTTACTTTTTACTAGTGTGTTGTTCGATATGTTTTAATAAAATCTATATATTCAGTATATGTAATAATCCGCAAGATATAACTTATTTACACGTGATCAGTTATTATTGCTCAAAATGTATTATTCCACAAAAGAAGTGATATAAAAATAAAGATATTATATTATATATGGGGAATCTTATTATCTTAATTTTGTTGATTTGTAAGAAAAATTTACATTATACAAGAATTAAAAAGATTTATTTTTACAATAAAAATATCTGGAAAATTTTAAATATACCTTTTTCAAATTATTGAAGAAGTTAATGTACAATTAATCATTTCCACTTTCACTAGAATCTTCTTCAGCTTCCTCTAACCATTTAATAAATGGTTGTACTGCAACTCTCACTTTGTTCTTCTCATATGACTCTATGTGTTTATCGTTAGATTTGTACCATTCTAAAATTTTTTCCTCTGATAATATATCTTTATCATAAAACATATGCAACAAAACTTGCAAACATGATAACAATTCTGGAGTTGTACTTGCAACCTCTTCTATTGCATGTAAACAGTCATTTTGTGCATTTTCTGTTTTAACATAATTCAATATAATTGGATAAAAATATGTTATCACACGCTTTAAATTTCTATGATAGTCTATACTAGTTATAGTTTCTTTCTCTTCTGAAAGATAATGTAGAGGTAAACTTAATATGGCTTTAATAACGTTATATGTTACTTCATCCATAGTAACATTATATGCGTATCTAGATGAATTTATTTCTAAAATTAAGTTTTCACACTTAAGTTGATCTTGGAAGCCTCTTAATAAACTATCAATGACTTCAGATAAAAACATGCTTATATCATCTGTAGCTGGTAAATTACATTCAGAAGCTTCATCAATACTTGATGTATCTGTGTTTGTATGTACATTATTATCGTTTTCCAGCATGTCATAATTTTTAAAGAGATGAAATTCATTACATGGATCAATTTCTGATATTGTTTTTGTAGAAATTTTGTCATCTTTTGATTCTATGATAGAGTCAGTATACTCCATTGGAGTATAAATAATCGTTTTGGGACATAATATACATCCATCTATTCTTGTGTTTTGTTTAATGAAACAATTTGAAAATATTACGCTATTTATAATGGTACAGTTATCTTCAATTTTATTATCCGAGAAAATGTAAGAATTCTTAATTGTTACATTAGAGCCTACTAAACAATGATCTCCAATAACTGCTTTTACCACTAAAGTATTATTCCCAAGTGTACTATTTTGGCATAATATACTATCTTTCTCTAATATACAACCTTTAGCAAGTGTAGCACTTCTATGTTTATATGTGCTTCTTGGCATGTAAATAAAATCTTTTAAAAATGGAATAGCATTTGGTGTAAGTGGAAAAGTATGTCTGTTCAGGATATCTCGGTTAAGACAATGATATGCATTCCATGATACAATCGGCAGACTATAATCCTGTGGATCTAATTGCTGCCAGTATATTCGAGAATTTAAAATTTCTTCATTCATTAGCACTCCTCGAATGAAATCTTCCATTGTCTGTTAACAATATAGAAAAATTATTATTTTTTACATTATTTATATCTTGCTTTCAGATCTTCAGTTGTATCATATCACTTACTTGGAAATCAAAATTGTCAGAGAATAATGGTAACACGGAAGGAGAACATAAATAAACATGACTATCCAAGAAACAGGTATTAATTTCAATTTCATTATGGTTCAAAAACCAATCTAATTCCAACTTTACTTTATTTAAATCTTTTCTTAATACATTATAATGTAAAATCTTTCTACTACTTTTGTCAGAAACTACCAAACATGATTCCTGCCTTAAAGAAGATCCATTCATAGAGCCAATGTTTCTTAATACCATGGTCATGGCTGCACCTTTATCTTCTTTCAACTTTGCGCAGTGTTTAATTAAAAGATTTGTAAGATTGGCATTAATAAATGCGTCTCCTCTAATAAGTATAAAATTACCACGAATGGAACCTTTTGTATCAATATCTCTGAGAGCATCTCCAAGAGAAGTGCAAGCATCTGATACAATTAAAGAAACTGATATATGAAGCCATTTCTTCTGTTTTATATATGCTCTTATTAAGTCTACATGGTTGCTACAGTAAAGAAATAATTCTTGCACCCTCGACTTAATTAGAGTTTCCACTAAATAATCCAATAGTGGAACATTTATTAGAGGCATTAATATTGTTGGAAATATAGTCTCTGCAGGCATCAAGTTCATTACAAAGTCATCTGCAAGGACAACAGCCTGTATAATCTGCTTCTTTCCCATTTCTGTAGCCATTTCGTTTTATTTGAATTATTTATAGTCCTCAAAGTAATAAATGTAAAATATTCATTATAGATTACGAAATATTGGATAATATTTTTATGTCGTTTCAAGCACAAAAATTTATTTTCACGTTGTTTTTTTTTCTTTTTTATTAATACAATTTTACAATTAATACGATTAAAATACAAATGACGTTCAAGAACAACATGGAATAGACTCTAGTAACAATATTTACACTGAGGCCACGTTCTCTCACTATTGCCACAACGAGATCTATACTTCAAAAATTCCAAATTATGTTTCAAGCCATGAAACAGAAAAATATACAATAATTATATAATTATATGATTTTTCTCAAATTTAGCTATTTGACTCCAATACTTTTTTTTTTTGTTAAAACTTTATTAAATTAAAAAATCAATCAGGAGAGCAGGAAATTCAACGAATTCAGTGTTAGATCTTTCTTATCTATGATTTATGCGATCTTCTTACTTGAAGTAACAATATATATATCTAGAAGTATATAAAACTTCCAAATTGAACATATTAAAAGAATTATTCTAAATTATTCTATTACAAATTTCATAAAAGTATAAAATATGTCAATGAAACATCTAGGCGAGGTAATACATTGTATTATATTAGGTTAGAAATCTGATAAAACTTAATCTTAAATAAATTTTAAAATCGTTTTATGATAATGATTGCATACATTCGTAATCAATTTATTCAATTTTCATGACTCACATATATTAAAGTGCAATCAAAAGAGATAACACGAAACTAAAAATTTTAGACATTGTATCATATACGAAGACCCACACGATGGACAGAAGGAATCGGTGCAGCATTACCAGAAGAGTATAAAAAGTTTTGGAAGGAATGGAAACGAACCCCAACTGCTGTACATTATATTGAACAAAAAGGCAAATATGTAAAAAACGAAGAAACAGGGGAAGTGTAAGTATCTGGTAATACATCTTTATATGTTTTTAATTTGTATCTTCTATAATGATCATATTCAATATTATTAGATGATATTTGCTTCTAGACGTCCAGTTCAAAATGTACCATTGCCATTATTATATCCTGAAGAATTCCACAAAGGTATATGGGGCGGTGAAGCTGTAATACAAGGTTTCACAAAGAAACACAAATATGCTCGTAGATATCCACATTTTTGGTTTCCCACGCTTAAAAAGTCTGTGGTTTACAGTGAAGTTTTAGACAAATATATAAGTATTGTTGTTACCAATAGAACTATTGATTTAATTAATGAACATTATGGTTTTGATCATTACTTATTAAAGGTATAAATAAGTTGCAAGGTATACTTAAGTATCCTAAATATCACATTTCATCATTTCATTAATTGTAATTATCTATAGACTCCTGCCTGTGATTTAAAATCTGAGCTTGCCCTAAAGATAAAACGTGAAATACTTTTATCATTGGCTGACAAGACATTATACCCAGATGATCCTCTTAAAAGAGAGGAGATTTATAATAATTATAAGGAATACCTAACAGCTGTAAGTTTTTTTTTAATGTAATTCTGATATCTTATCTAATAACTTATTATTTTAATTATTAAATAATTAATATTTATTTCTAGTATACACGAGATGAAATTGAATGGTATGGTTTGACATATAAAGAAGCTTGTAAAAAATGGATAAAGCATTATGCAGAAAAAGAAAAAGTGATGCCTTTAAAGTTGCAATACAGAGCTGAGTTAATAGCTGAGCTAGAGCAAGAAAAAAGTCAGGAAGTAGAAAAAACTGTAACAAAGTGTGTTCATAAATTATGTTTTATTTAACTTTTTACGTTTACAGATATTTGTAACAGACAATTACTTTTGCAGATGGAAGTTACCATGGAATCCTTTCTCCTCAAGATCAGATTAGTTCATATATTATATTGTTGTACATTATAAATAAAGAAAATGAAACATTTACTTCATAAACTGAAAATGAAACAGATTTTGATTTTTCATTCATATATAGTAACCTCAATAGAAAATTGAACAAGCAAATTGATATTATTCACATGAATATAAATCGTAAGAAAACTTCTAGATATAATCACCTAAAAATTGTTTACTTTTCAGAAATAAATAACTACGATATTGAACATTCCAAATCTCCATCCTTTGGCAAACAATTTAATAGTGAGGCTATAGCTCTTGTAATATATGTCATTGTTCCGAAACTACCACTTGGAGCACTGTCATAAAAATGTTGACAAACATATGCTGCTCCACCACAAAGAAGATTTCCCATTGCGGTTGTTTCACGTTGTTCTTTTGGTTTAGCACAACATAAGGTAGCGTCACCATCAATTTTCATCTAATTATATGAAATTAATTCGATATACATAATATGTATTATATATTTGATAGATATTATATAGATAGATAGATATAATATAATATATAAACTATAAAGCTGTACCTGATCGTCTAAAAATATGGCATTAGCTTTGTGAACTAATTGTTCAACAGCAATAAGTCCTCCCAGAGAAGTTGCTACATTATATTCAGTTACTAAAGTTAATACCATTAAAGCTTCGACTACTAATTGACGGTATTCTGGTTGCGGTATAGTGTTTAATACAGTTTCTACTGCTAGTGCAAATTTTAATTCCCCTGGTGTCATCTCCTGTGTAAGATTTTGAGGTAAGATTCTACCTTCAATCGCTAAACCTTGGCACTGTAACAATTTAAATATTAGCAAATGATAACTTTTCGATACAGATTCAAAGTCTCAAATTTTAATGGTGGACTAAAATAAGAAAGGAAACTTTATACGTATTATTTTCAAGAAATAACACATTGTAACTCGAGCATTACATTGTTTTATTTGTAATGTACGAGTCTACAATTGTTTCAGTTTGAATTTATTTTTTTCACATTTTTATAAATATGAAGCAATAATGAACATTGCAATAATAATGCATTTATATTAATTTCATTTTTTATTTCGATGACTTCTGTATTTCTGAAGCTTGTTCACTAAAGTACTTACCCGTTCGAGCACTTGCCATACTCGAGGATAAAAATCTCGTGGCACTCTATTTAATGCACCGTCTAATCTTCGTCGTCGTAACCATTGTCCTTGTCGATCTGGTTCTACTTCATTACCATCAGTTTGATCGGGACTTAGGAAACCCCCAATTTGTGATTTCTAATTAAAAAATACTTAAATTACAATAAAACTATCGAAAATCAATGATCGTCACAGCGATATACTTTAGTAACTATTACCTTGCTGACTTTACTAGATTTGCAACTGATAACAGAAAAATTTCCGCGACCAACTAAAAAATGCAAATAAATTATTTTTGCATGGAAATAAAATTCTTATCTTATTTCATTAACGTATTGAACATACCACTACTAATGGCAAACTCCTTTCCACTGATAATATGATGTAATAGATTTTTCATTTCGAAAGGTGATAAATTAAGCAAATGCTCAGATGCTTCTTCTCCCGTACATATTAGAGTTCTTGATAATTCAGTAGCCATTACTTGAATAATCAAACCTACTCTAAGTCTGAGCATTTCGAGAAACAACTGCGGTTCCGTTCTAATAAACATCGCTAAATAAACAAGTAATTCCTGTGTTAACATAGCAGTAGATTCATCGTCTCCATACGCTTGATGAATTAACGCTCTTAATTCATTTTCTGGTAATGGCGCGACAATAGTATGTTCATTAGTTGGAGGCATTCCAACTGTAACTTGTTTTTGACGAACTAACAGATCAGTGACTGCTTTGGCTAAATCTTCGACTCGTTTTCCTAACATGCCAGCTGTGTGACGTACGATACCCCACATTTTTTGTTGACAAGCCTTTTCATAGAGATCTTTTAATAAATCTTTTATCAAAACTGGATGACCTTCTTCTACCATGCCAGTGTTGAAATACAGGCCTTGGGAATCAACCTGAGTATTTAAATTGAAATTATTTGTAAAACAAATAAAAATTTCTCAATAACTATGAGATATTTATTTCTAAAATTAGCCCATTTTAATAAATTTTATTTATTTAGATTTACTACATACAAAATATTTTTTTTTTGTACTTACAAGGTATTGTAAAATATCTCCTTGTTCTTCTAAACTTTCAGTTTCTCGAAGCATAGTTAATAACTCCTCGACTTCCGTATCTGCATATTGAGTTTCGCCTGTACCTCTGTGTCTATGTAATTTTGGAGAATTCGTCCAAGATAATAATTCATCTGTAGGGGACGGTGTTCTATCCGTAGTAGCCGACTGCGTAGGATTAGGAGTTAATGTTGTATCTGTCACTTCAATAAATGGATTTGTATTTAGAATAGTAGAAGGTCTTCTATCTTCTCCTGCCATCCCAAGAATTTCAGCTACAAATTACATAATTAGCTTCTTTTACTTTTCTTAAAAGTTATTTTATAAATTATCCAACTATTTAATTATTAAGTTTATTTAAAATAAAGTTGTTTAAAAACAAAACAGACATGTTAAATTCTTAATTTTCGTTAAAAATTTGAAAATTATTCATCATGTGTTAGTACACTTACATTCTTGTAGGATGGTAGGAACCATAACATATAGGATCACATTGTACAAACATTTAAGCATCCACTTTAAGTCGCATGCAATCAGAATTTTAAGAATTTAAATAATTTGTATTGTTAATATACAAAGTAAATGTAACTTACGTTCTATAGCGATTGATCTCGTTTTCTTTATAGCACCCTTTACCGACATTCTGCGTCTTAAATTTTTTCCAGTTTTAATTACCGGTCTATTTAGAAGACCTGTTCGATGTGGAAATGCGCGCATCAAATGTTCTTCTAGATAATGTTGGACCTTATCAAATATATATAAACATATATATATATATACATAAAATATGAGATTACTAATTTAGGATAAAGATATCTGTTTACCTGAGGATTCAATTTATCTGGTCTACCATCCTCAGAACTTCCTAAGAAGCTCAGATTTGTAATGCAAGAAGTACTTAAAAAATCATTCAAGTTCCCTAATGAAACTCGTGTACCATTGATATAACCACTTTTTAATTTCTTCATAGTAGTTATCATTGCCAATGGTATCTTTCCTTGATCTGAAATAATAATAATTGTATAATACAAGGATTTTTCCTATCAATATTTAAAGACAAAGAAAGCAATTCTCTATATTGTTTCTATGATGTATGATTTTTGAAAAAATTCTATCCTTTAACATTTCAAGTATTTTAAGTAAATATTTGTCCTGAATGATGATCTAATGCTGCCTGTGGCATACCTAGATGATTATGAGTAGCAACAAGGGTTATAGTTGGCCTGCCGAGCATTTGCTTCCAGTTGATGGTGAGGAAGGCCAAGTTGGTTGTAAAAGTGTTGGCAAGGAGGGCTGCATCATTTGTTGTGTAGTACTCCTCCGCGTCAAAATTCTAAGACATGCAACAAACGCGCACACCACTGCACATATAAGCTATCTTCTTAGAATGTTAGATTTTACTATGTCAAAAAGAAAACGGCCTTTCCTCAATTCCTCTTTTTTTTTCTTTTTTAACATTAATTGATTTTGCTCATGATGAAGACAATGATATTTAAATGTCAAATTGCATTAAAACTTTCCATAGCCACTAAAGCAAAAGTAATAATAAAAACAAATGCACGCATGCAGGCAGACATGTTAGATGTTTCCTTGGATAATGTATTCCCATAATTTCACTAAGAAATTCAATTCCGAAAATGAACTGCTTTCGTTTAAAAACTATATATTTTATCTCTGTTACTTTAAAGCTTTGTAATCATGAAACTTTAATATTACAATTTCTCATGTATTAGATAACAAAAAGTAACACAGATGAAAATTGTAGTTTTTAAATATTAAATTACTGTACCTAGATGAATGTTCTTGAGGGGCATGACCACAAGAGGCCGGCCTAACATGTTCTGCCAGCTAGACTTCAAGAAATTAATTTCACCTTTGAATATATCAATCATGAGCTCATAGTCCGATGCGATGTAGAAGCGGGTCATGTCTGTCAACTAATGTTCGATGCAAGAACAAGAGGCAACATAAGAAAAGAAATAAAAGTATAGAGAGCAGACAAGTCGATGAATATCAGTATACTTACCTGTGGAGTGAATGCAAATATTTTATCGTTCAAAGAATATAATTTACTGGTGCTTAGAATTCCTACATCTCTTGATTTACGTCCGGACAATCCTAATTTTTTATTTCGACCTAAAAATAAACATTTTATTACATTAGTAAAAGCGATTATTTAATAGATATACTTCATATATACCTAAATATGTGTACAAATGACTGAGAACTTTTGCAGGTTGCACTTCAATTGGGGCAACCTCTGCTATTGTTTGTACATGAATGTCATGTTGTGCTATTTTTTCTCTAATTTCAGCATCTTCTGCTAAAATAACGACTTGCACTACAACATCTGGTTTTTTCTCGCTACATAAACGTCTATTTAATGGATCCAATTCTCCCACAGCAAGAAAACCCTATTAATTAAAAACATGAATTAAAAAAAATAATTTAAATTCTTTATACATATTTATTTTTTCATGCATATTGGTGCACCTACTTCTTGTAATAATTTTCCTAATATGTACAGAGATTGAGCCCACATAAATGGACATCTGCCCAATGCAACACGCTTTTGACTACCTGGTTCAGCATACTCTGCTGATACATTTGCAACTTCTACGGAATATAATTCAGGTACTAATTTTATTCCATCTTCAGTTTTGATCATTATTTGTTCTAATTGTTTTGTATATTCTGTTACTGCTTCTTTATTTCCTTGGAAACAATAATCCACAATTAAATAACAAAAGAACAAAGGCCATTCGCATTCTATATTTTCAAACATACGTAATTCCCATGGTTCATAGTAAAGTCTATTAAAAACATAATAAATCGATTAGTAAATGAATGTTACAATACAGATAGAAATGATTTTCTTTTAATTTGCTTCACCTGTTAAGATCCTCTTTTGGCGTTTTATATCCATCTCTTAAAAATCTTTTACATCCATAACGACCCTGTAACTTCCTGGTAATAGTATCTCTTGTTAATTGAATTAAATTAGGCTCATCTACAGCAAATGCTGGAAAACTTATAACAGACAATAATCCACTATCTAATTCTTTTGAATTAGATTCACGTGGTAACATAGATTGTAAAACAGCTTGACATTTTTGTGCTTCATCTGCTAATACATGAATTACAGAAGTAGGCCCACCCCTTGCACCAAATAAGTCTAATTCATTCATAGCTTCCATTGCGGCTTTTGCCATTCCAATACTGCTAGCGTTTAATTCTGGCAAACCATGGTTTGTTTTATCTCCTCTTTCCCAAATTCCATAATCAGGAGTACAATAAGCTGACTCGATATAAAACACTAAATTTTGGATAAACGCAACCTAAAATGAAATTAGGCATATTTAGGATTGTTTTACTAGAAATTGTTATATATATTAGTTATTATTATGACGCATATACCTCATCTAAATTAAAAACAATTTGTAAGCCAGATGCTGTCATTTGGGCTAAAACCAATAAATAAAGAGATATGGCATCTATTTGAAGATGGCCCCATTCTGTATCACCTACGACAGTTTGTCCATTGACAGAGCTATACTTAGCATGCAAAGCATCGTATGGATTTTGACTGGACTTGAATCGTTCAACTTTTTCTTTTTGTTGCATCATTGCCATTAATAAACCTCTCATTAATTTTACACAACTTTGTTCAAGTTCATATGTCTTGGCTCTGTCCTCATCTGCATCAGCTATCTTTTTATATGCCATTGAAAGGCCCCAAACAGCGAGAATACAGTACACATTATCACGAACCCATGCATGATCATTCTCTGGACTAGCGGGAAAAAGTCCTGTGACTGCATTTTGATGTTTCATAATAATCTTATGTACAATCCGCTGATAATAATCCAAACGGACACCGGAATTACTACGACTACGCATTTCAAATGCGTATATCGAAATTTTGAAATTTTTATTATCTCTGACTCCACTTCTTTTGAAAAGACACTTGAATTTTTATAACTTAATTGTACATTCGTTGCCTCTAATTACATTTTGAGGTTAGGAACGAATTATTTTTTTTTAAATACCTTCGCCACAATTTCTTGATATTCTTATTTAGTTAATAAATAATATATAAATATACGCAACTAAAAGGTTGCACAAAAACTTTGAATAATTATTATGAATATTTATACGCACATTTTATATGAAATCTATATCAATCATAGAACCTCATATGTGAACATTTCGTATACAATGTTAAACGAATGTCAAACACAATATACAATAGACCTCTATGTCATCATTAGAGAACTATATATTAGCAAATATTCAATATTGCCTACGGTGTCCCATTTAAGTTTATCTTAAATATCTCCGTCGTTTTTGGAAATATGAGAAAATTTTATTTATAGAAGTTATTGAATAGTACAGTAATGATTTTCTTTGTATATGGAGGGATTTCTGAGATTTTAAATAAATTGCCTCCAATTTTTTTTAAATGAAATTATATACGTAGGTCTTTTCTTTATTAATCGCAATTAGTTCCATCGTTTCACCGCTACGCGATGCTGATTAAATAGATTAGAAATTTAAATTTTATTTAATATACAAATGTAAATAAATTATTTATACAAATTTCAAACTTCGATTTTTCTAAGAATTTAAAAATGAATACAAATTTTATGCAGTAATAAAATAATTTTTTATGTAACTTTCTACAATATATAAATAAAATCATTTATCTTATGTAATCATAAGTTTTAAATCATGTAATCTCAGTCAATATTTGCATCAATAATTGCTTCCTTTCCTTACTTATAAATTATTTACGTTTAATTTTTGGAATTTTTCTATTTCTATTTCTATTTTTTACATTTTTAACTTCATAAAAGTTGCTACCGATCTTCTTTCTTTTATTAGCCCTTTCTATAGCTCGCCGTTGTTTACTTGTTAATCTGTTTTCTTTTTCTACTGAAACTTTAAATATACCACTGCTCGACATGGTATTTGTATTAAACATTTCAGTATCGCTGGAATCATATTGTTCTTCTATTTCATCATATGCACTTTGCAATAACGTATCTTTCTCTATCGGCAAATGAATTTCATCATCAGAATTTGTTTCATTTACTTCATCTCTATTTTTCGAATCGTTATTGGATTCATTAACCTCCTCGTTTTCTATTGATATTTCTTCGAGTTGCACATTTCCATTATCTTCAGTTTCATTGATGTCATCGTCATTCAAATCAGATGCAATTGAACTAGTTTCTATGCTATTGTCTTTTGTATCCGATACATTATGTTCAATGTACAGGTCATTTCTGACATCGTCATCTGAATATGGCAAACCAACCCTAATTTTTCGAAAATCTTGTATCACAGATAACTGAACTTTTGGTTCTTTGTTTAATATATCCTCAGTTTTATTCATCTCAACATCGTTCTGTTTCTCAATATTATCTTCAACTGAAATTTCATCTGTTACTCTTGACAACGGTTCCTCAAAACCAGGGGGTGGGACATAAAATGGTAATTTACCACGTTGCCAGTCATTTAAAACCATTCGTGAAACAATAGTAATGTTTGGTTCTCCTTGCTTCAATAATTTGCCACTTTTACGTGCCAACTTCTCCAGAAAATCAATATGATCATTCCACTCCATAATTTTATATGTCTTACGTATATACTCTTCCCTTACTTGAGATAATACTTCTGAAATGTAATCTTCAGGATTTTGTACGAGTTCTACTCTTACAACACCTTTCAATACCTTTTCCGTGTCGGTTTCTGCTGATGGATAAACTACACCTGGACAATCTATTAAGTAAATACGCCGCATTAAAGTGATATATTGCCATACTTTTGTCTCTCCTGCTATCGGTGCAACGCTGCACACTTTCTTTGATCTTAAAGTATTTATAATTGAACTTTTACCAGTATTAGGATATCCTATGAAACCTACGCTGATTTGTTTCTTATCAATGTGTAATTTTCCGAATTGGCGTAACAAATTAATTAAAGAACCTTTACCAAATGGATGTGTCATAGATGCATGAAATGCCACTGTTGGATATTCTGCACTCAATATCGCAACCCATCTTTGCGTTGCCCAAGTTGGGATAAGATCTACTTTGTTTAAAATAAACATTAAATGTTTATGAGGTTTTTCCGTTTTGAGATACTTTTCTATTGGCGGTGATCTTGTTCCTAAAGGATTTCTGGCATCTAATACTTGTAAAATAACATCAGAGGAATCTATAACTTTATATAATTCATTCCAAATTCTCTTGCTTTGACCTGCAGACATAACCCAGTCTCTCTGAGCTTCTTTGATACCTGTATCTGGACGTACAAGATCAACATCTTTAGAATCTTTTTCCATATTGTAAGTTTCTTCCTTTGCTTCTGCTAGTTTTTGTAGTTCATCATACGATGATATTGGTAAATTTGGTTTTTTTCGTATCTTCTTTGGGCCAAAAACACTTTCAAAACTTTCTGTATCTAATAAATGTACCCTTGCATTTGCAGCCTTTTGTTCAAGTAATGTTATTGGTAATTGTGTAGGTTTCATAATCACGTTGTAAGGATTTTTCATTGCTTTCCCTAATTCGTCTTGAAATTTTTGCAAAGCATTTTGAGAAATAACTCTTGAATTACCAAACCATCTCTGTGAAGGTTCTATACGTGACATAGTACCAGATGGTTGCCATCCTTGAAATGGTGCTGGACTAATGATTTGTCCTTTACGATTGCGCTTTGGTTTCTGATTACGATACATTTGCAACCTTTTAATTGTTGCTTTTGTTCGAACCTTTGCCACACCTTTTAATCCTTCTGTAGGTCGTTCAGGGTTCATACTGTGCCCAGAACGTTTAAATCCCTCTTTTCGAGGAGCTTTACTTGTTGCATGTGACTTTGCCATTTTGCCTGGAATATTTATAATATTTATAACTTTTATATTTTATTTATACGTTTCCTTTGCTTCTGCTTGTTTTATTGTCAAACGACAATCAACTTTAATAAATATTTATACATTTTAGTCAATTGCAGATATCGCAAAGTATACATTAGTTAATTTAAATATGATACGTACTAACCTTTTTTTCCTTATGTAATTATAAAAATTTTTTTGTTATATAGTATAGAATATAACAAGTTTCATTTATTTGGATACAAATAATTTTAGTAGGGTTAGGTTTATACGCACGTGTATCATCCAATACCAATATACTACAAAGTATATATATATATATATATGTACATTTTATGAAGACGTAGAATTCAGGCAAATTTACAAGTGGAACACCGCACGATTTCTTCTATTATATATTTCTATGAGATTCTAAGAAATTATGAGGAAAAGAATCATAATTTGAAAGTAAAAATAAAATAAAATACCATAATCTGTATAATTATATGGCCACAGATAAACATAAATTTGTAACTATAAGAGCAACGTGTAAAGCTGATGTATTTACGTATATTTATTATTAGTAACAATTACGTATATTTTATTAGTAATTTTGTTTAGTCGACTTTAGTTTTTTTTTTAACTTTCACGATTAAAATAACAAATAAAAGAAAAATTAATATATTTTCTACATTTCAATAAAAAAACGTCAAACTTAAAAATTTGTTGCCGTTTCATAAAAATGAAAAAGAAAATAGTATTTTTCCAATTTGATTTACCAAAAAATTAGATTTAAACATTTTGAAGTACATTCATTTGTTCAAAAAGATTAGGTTAACAGTCAAAATTAGCTGAATTTTTATGTGATAATTGCCTTTATCATGTATAAACGTATAGCTTATCATATTTATATTTAAATTATTTCATTACAATATTGATACATATATTTTAAATAGTATTTAACTTGGTTAATTGAATTATTAATATGATAATATTAAATACTATCGGTTAAATACTATAGTCTAAAACTTTTAACAATGTAAAGTAACGTATTCAAGATTGTTACACATACATTTGAAAATGTTATTAAACATTTTATATTCAAATAATCTTATCTCATTTGCAGATATAATGCAAATGTAATAATTTACGTATCCACAGCCACAATGATATTTTTAGTATCTTTTAAATAATAACACATATATTATACTCTTATGAATAATTGACTTTCTAGTCTGTAATTTATAATGCAAAAATGAATTTGTGATAAATACAGACCGTGGCTAATACATTATTCTGAATCTAAGAGAGCAGATCATTCAAATAATATTTCCTTTCCAAAACATTTTTATAAAATAGTAACTATTATACTATTATTATATTAGTAACTATTATTACATGATTATATTTAAATTTTTTTAATAAAATAAAAACTACTGTGTGTGTGTGTGTGTGTATTAGTATATAATTAATTAATTGTCATTCCTTAGTTTATCTTTTACATTATACATAGAACATATTACATAAATGTACATATGCATAAATTTCTTAATGAAATAATAGACTGAATAATTTACTCTAAAAAAATTTTATGTATTAACATGTACAATAAATTATTTTTATAGAAGAAAGAATTATTTTAATTAAAAACAATTATACCTTGGAAATATGTTGTATTTTTAAGAACATTGTAGTTATTTGAAATTACAAGCATTTATTTGTATAAGTAATTATTCGCAACATTTGTTATGTGTTTAATAAACAAGACTTTCCTTAAGAAAATACTAGAATATTATAAAAAAAATATGATATGCACTTGCAAATATATTTTTGTCATCAACATAATTACTTAAAAATTCAAAATTATTGATATTTTTAGAAAAGTTCATCATAATTTTTAATTAAACATAGATAAAGCAATATTATGATGAGTGTTCATAGTCTGTAGAATATGCGTTCTCATCTGGAATCCTAAAGTATTTATAATGTAATATGTTCTATTTGTAATGTATGAACAAGTCAAATTTTACAAATTGATACAAATTATTTTATTTTTATTGTACATATTACTAAATTAGTTGTGATAAACTAGAAGTTTTATATTCAGTTGTATATTAAGTACATTTTACATTCTTCCACATCAAATCAACACAAATAATTGAAATATAATTTTTTGTCTTCTACAATAGTTTTCTACTATTCAAAACATATTTAATTCATTACCAAACTTTCTGGATGTTTACATTATTTATAGCATGATATATGATATATTTCAATTTTCATCTTTATAATATTAAACAATGTCATTATATACTTTTGTTATACTTTCTTGACTAGATATAGTAAATTTTACTTAATATATTGCTTGTATTATTTTAAATATGTATATGTAGTATGTTCTATTTTAATTAATTTACACAAATATTATCAAAATTATAATTAATATTAAAATTCTTATCATCGAACTGCTTTAAAAGATTTCTTTGAATGTTTTTGAATCACTTGCATCAATGAACTTATTTTTAAGTGCATTCTCCTGATACAAAATCTATGTACTTAATGATTATATTATTAATAGTTTTAATGATACTTGTGTCTATTGATTAAAATGAGATCTGTATATATGTAAAATTTTGATTATTATATATATAAAATTTTGTTTCTTACCACACACATATGTCATAATAATAAATAATTCCATAATTTTGTTTATTTAAAGTCCAAATCATAATCAAATTGTACTGAATAAACATTATTATCAAAAGACAAATATATATTCACAATATCATCAATATTTGTGCTATATATAATTTTTAATTCTAAATTATGAATACAGTATGAAATTATAATTTTACTATATCATAAATAATTGAAATTTTATATACTAAATTTACCTAAAAGTAATAGACTTTGTTCTGAATAAAATCTGCTTTACAAATGAAAAACATATAATATTAATTATACTATTAATTCGTTCATAATTTTTATCTGGTACTTATTATATTACTATTGTATTGTATGAGATTGCATTTTATTTGCAGCTTTTTTTTTAAATAAAAAATTATTTTATAATTCAGAAACATAAACATTTCTTTGATATAATTATAGTCCAAAATTAAACCATTTTCTGAATTGAATTATTATATGAATTATTATTATTCATATTTGAATTACATTTTCTTAAATAAATTAGTTAGAAGCACGATTTGAATACTGTGAATTTCTCTCTCTCTCTCTCTCTCTCTCTCTCTCTCTCTCTATATATATATATATATATATATATATATATATATATATATATATATATATATATATATATATATATGTGCGTGCGTGCATGTATACACACATATATTGTTTTTAAACATTGTAATGATTGCTAGTAAATCTAAATATATGCGTCGTGTTATAGCTAAAATTTTTAATGATAATGATATTTTTGTTTATAACGATATTTCGCTTACAAGTACTAAAAGTGCATATGAACACTTTTGTAAGCATATGTTGCTAGTTGAAATGAATCTTTTGATATCTTTTTACACTGTTATTGGTGGTTTATATTCTTTATTAACAACATAAAATTTATGTTTCTTTCCAAACAAACCCCATATAACAGCAATATTTTCAATGATCAAATTAAAAGGAATTGTTGATAATGCCCCACATATACATAGTATAAATCGGGCAATACCAAATCGGTATAAAGAGAACGATTTGACTACGCCAAAAACATACATATAAATATTTACTGCGCCAATGAAAGCGCAAAGAAAATCTATAAGTGGTGGGCAAGTAATGGGATAAATTCCAGCTAATACAATATTCGAAGTAGAAAGTGGCATTGTTACCCACGAGTAACAAGATATGCCTAAAAGCAGCTTCTTACTTAATGGAATAGCTTTGGAATGTACGACAAGTAATATACCTTGTAACCATCTTTTTCTTTGTTGTACAAAATCCCATAATGTAAATGGTGATTTTTCCCACATTTCACCATCTACAAAATTAAATGTGTATCCTTGAGTAAACGCTTTCATTGCAAAAAAACAATCTTCTGCAACGGATCCATCTAGTCCATTGTTAAAGGAAACTTGTCTTTCCGCACCCATCTGTAACAATGAAATTGTTTATCTATATGATATTATTATGGTACGATTCATTGTATAATATAGTAAACAATTACTTGTGTAACAACATAAGAACCTTTCATACTAAAGAAAGGTTTGTGAAACATTGTAAATTGTAACCTTAATTTTCCCATATCATCTGCTACTCTAAAACTGTCTGCTAAGGTAGTAATCCAGTTAACAACATCTTCATTTGCATATGTTATTAACCCTTGACCAAATTGATGTTTCCCATCCAATACAAAATTCAGTATTCCACGAACAGAATTTTCGGTTAATAAAGTCTCTTCATCAAGGTGTACAATCCAGTCATTATCTGCTAGTTCATTGACTGAATGTTCTAAGCAATATTGTAACGCACGGGCTTTAAACAAAGCGCCACTACTTGTACGATAGTTTGGTGGTACAACAACTTCTCTAATTCTTCTGTGAAGAGTTAATCCAATTGGCTTATCACTAACTACTTCAATTTGAAAGTTTTCTAAACCAGTTTCTATACACTTATTCAAATTTCTCTTTACATTTGCCTTCACTAATAGTGGATAATCTCCACGTGTTACTATTCTAATACAAACAAATGGTGCAAGTAATGGTGAGCCTTGCAAAACTACTTTATCTGGGAATGCATTGTATATTATCAGTCCTACAAAGTTAAATAAAACTTGAGGAAATGAAAGAAATGTAAGTGTTCGCAGGAAGTACAACACAAGTGCACCCAGAAATCCATACTGAATCCATGGATCAAACGTTTCTTCTTTATTATTATTCCAGCTAAGTCCTCCAGTAATCAATTCAAATATAATTATAACAATAAATAATAAACAACAGTGTAAAACGTGTTTTGTTACACTGTTCAACATTATTCCTGAAAAAAAAAACTAGTAAATGCACATTCTATATAAATTATTAATTAATTATATCTGATAATTAATTAATTATGAATTATAATGATTAAGATATCAATATCTTAATATGATGAGAGTAAGATATTGATAAAATGCAAAAGCAATGTAATACTTGAATTAATGATTTAAATAACAGTAAAATCATCAGCCTTGAAACAATAAAATTACTATCAATAGTATCAGTGTTTGCTAAGATAATCATCATACAACATGATTTATTGAAAATTTTACTTTACTTGTATACCTTCTTTTATGTAACCAAATATTAATATAATATATCGTTAAAAAAAAAGATTTTTCGATTCATTGCTCACAGCAATAAGTAGATGCAAATGAATAGAAAAAAAATTATTTATTGACCGGTGCGGGTAGGAAATACTCTCATAATTTCAACAGCACGTCACTATCATTGATTTTCATTGATAAAAACTCACTTACATTCCAACATTCTTCAATTGTTCTATACAGGAAATGACTAACCATCAATACAAGATAAGGAAATCAAATCAACCTATGAAACTGTAATAAATATCAAAATTTGACATTAAGGTAGTACCACCTTAGTGATTATACTGACGCCAAATATTCTTTTTGTTTCTCTTTTTAGTGTCCTTAACACCTCAAATAAACCCTATGATCGGTTAATATTGCTTATAAAAATAAAATAAAATTTATAATTTTCATGTTTTTTAACGTTTTAGATATATTTATTGAGATATCATGTACTTGTACGTATAGGTATAAATTACAGATTGTTGAAAAATATAAATTCATATTAATAATGAGAGCAAAACAAGGGTGAAAGCAGATTAATATCAACAAAAAGCTTTAGCTGAATTTTCAATGAATTTGTCATGAATTTGTCAAAATCGTTAAATATTATATTACTGTTTTAATTAATAACATTAAATATTTACCTTTATTTAAAAGTAGTAAGAAAAATTGTAAAAGAATAAACAAAAATAAAATAATATTTTATTTTTTATCTAGTGAAAATAAGTGATCATTATATTTTTATTTAATAATAATCTTTTTATCTTGAGAACGTCGTACATAAATTTATAAGCTCATACTATTGTAAAAGTGAAAATTATATCAGTTGAAGATTTAATATTGTATTTATGTGTAATAGATGGCGTTTCAGTAAACATAAACGTTTCCTCACTTTATGATTTCATCTTCTATGTTCTTTACCTTTCATCGTTGCATCAAAAACACTTTTCATTTTGAGCGTGTACACGTTTCGTGTCGGAAGGCTTAAAGGTAAATATATATCTCTAAATGTAATTTATAATAAATAATATTGTGTATTTTAGATATGTTATATATTCATACATTAAATAATTAAATTTCTTCTTAATATAATATATTACAACATAAGATGATTTAGGATACGATGAATGTTATTCACGTGTATTTGTTGTTCATAATTTAAAATGTAAAAATAGTATTTAATATAAGAAGTCGTAAAAATTATATTTAGATTTTTATATATTTAATGCCAATTGTTTTCATAGATCAATTCTCGTGTTATTTATTTTTAAACTTATATATGTACTTTATATGATGATTTATATAATAATCACCATCTTTCGACTGAGAACTGTGATGGAACTTTCTTGCTGAAAGAGGTTAATGTAAGCAATAATGAAGCATTAAATGTATAAGAAAATTCAAAGTATATTTCTAATTTCAGAATGCGTTACGTGGCCGCTTACCTTTTAGCTACTTTAGGAGGAAAAGCTTCTCCTAGCCAAAATGATATTGAAAAAATTTTATCATCTGTTGGAATTGAAGCAGATACAGAAAAACTTAAGAAAGTTATCTCTGAACTGAATGGAAAAACAATTGATGAACTTATTGTACAAGGTATGGCTTCTTTAAGTTTAAATTATCTTCCTTATTAATTTTTATAGGTAAAACGGTTAATATCAATTTCCCAAAAACCAAATTGATTAATTCCATGTGAAGTTCTCAATTTTACTTTTTGTTTTTAAAAAGAAATGACATTTATTTATTGGATTTATTTATTACAGAGAGATAGCCTAAATAATTGCAAATTTTGAGATATTTTAAAAAATAATGATCACAATTATAATTTTTTTTATATTCCAATTTATGGATTTGATCAGTTCATTTGACATTCCAATATTTCAAATCGTTCAAATAAAGAGATGTATGTACAATTCTTCCAGGAATGGAAAAATTATTATCCATGCCAGTTGGTGGTGCTGTAGCTGTTAGTACAGATGCTGCACCAGCAGGAGGTGCTGCAGCCCCAGCTGAAGAGAAAAAAGGTAGTATTATGTGAATATATAATATGATTACTATATAATAATTATTTGCACAACTTATTTTTACAGAGGAGAAGAAACCAGCAAAAGAAGAGTCCGAATCGGAAGATGACGACATGGGTTTCGGTCTTTTCGATTAAACTGATCCTAAAAAACATACTGTATAATATTTGTACAACATATGTATTTCACAGTTTTGACATTAACTCGAAATAAATTTTGTTTTTTAATTTATTAATATTTAATTTAATTAAATTGATACATTAAATTGTTTACACGCTTTAGTAGTTGCATAGACTTCAAATTATTCGAGTGAATTTCCAAAGTGTCGAACAAAAGAGAAAGATCATGAGATCATCACCGTCTCTTTGTAACGGTGAATTTTAATGAGACAAGATTTCTGCATGGAGGAAGTATACATGATGGAAAACATATACTTGTTCAATTGTGCGCCGTTGCAGCTTCATTCACATCGGAGGAGTGGGGGATGAGAATTGAAGAAAGGAAGGGGTGGTGTTCGAGAGATTTACTAGAAAATCCAGTTGCGTGTATTCTTACGCTGGCGAACATTTAAATTAACGGAACGGTGATCAGGAACAGTGATCGCGGTCATTTAACATTTGGTCGGAGATCGTTGCGTGTCGTAACTATTTGGATGCGTTTACAAACGTTTGGCAATATCGGAATATAGGATCGATCGGAACGCTTTTGTACTTGAGGGACTATTTTTAGATAGAGGGGCGGTCATTGGCGGCCATGATGGGTGTCAGCGGCAAGTAGTGACGGCATTCACTTTGCGTCAGTTGGTTTTGTGCGCTGATGGTTGGACCGAGGTTTCTTGATTGAGAAGAGCGCACCATAAGCCAAAACAGTTGTATATAGGAACGTTCGACAGCCGCGATAGATTTTTCATTGGGCAACCGCGGCTGAAAAACCTCGTGAATTTTGGGAAAACATCAGGAAAATGACGCAGTTACTACCCATAAGGTTTCAAGAACATCTCCAGGTAGGTGACCTGCTTTCGTACCCGGTTCCTTTATTATTTCGACACGTCGTCAAAACATTCGTCCTCGCTAACTACGTTTCTCGATATCGTTCTGCTGTCGCAAACATTCCTTTGGCGAATCCCTGACTGCCAGTTTTATCGTCGCAACGAGGAAACGCAAGTTTCGTTAAAATTCTTTCGAATTGACATTACTTTGACAGGTATAACACTGTGATCGCATGTTCGTTCATTATGTATATCAAATTTTAATCAATTTACACGAATGTTCGTAATAAAATATTTAGAGGTTAACTAATCATAATATTATTTCTGGCGGCGATATTGGCGAGAAGAAATTAATTGATTTTTTTCTTTTTCTTCTTTTTTTTTTATCAACGAGGGCCACGTCTACTCGGCACATACGCCCCTTATTTCCGTCTTCGTACAGCGTGAATTTTCTAACGAAAATATTCGTTGCACCGCGAATCTAACGATAGCAATATGGAATTGGATTGTGATTCATTAATTTCGTCGATAATTTACTTTTTTGTAATAATGAGTTGCGGTCTGAGTTGAAGTACATTTTAATTACGATCATGTATCGCATATTTTTTTTTATTCCACATTCCAGATAAACTGCATTTAACTTATCTATTCTCCCATTTTGCTGAAGCTGGTGAAATTAATTCTTAGCGAAGAATATTATTTAGTTCAATAATAGTTTCTGCTATTAGCGAATTTCGTAGGACATATTTCTTTAAGTTAAATCAAGTTATATTAAGTATATTTGATTACATGAAATTACATTAAATGCTGTCCAATAATTTTGACCTGTTTTTTGTTATTTTCTTTTTTATAGCTCACAGCTGTTGGGATTAATGCTAACAATGTCAGCTTTAATACACTCACAATGGAATCTGATAAATTCATTTGCGTTCGAGAGAAAGTTGGTGACACCGCACAGGTAGTTATTATTGATATGAATGATTCTGCGAATCCTATCAGAAGACCCATTTCTGCAGATTCTGCAATCATGAATCCTGCAAGTAAAGTAATAGCTTTAAAAGGTAATAATTAGTAATAATTAAAGTAAGTACATGAAATATGATAAAGTTTGAAATATGATAAATAAGTTGTTTTTATTCTTGTTACTAGCAATGAAAACTCTTCAGATATTTAACATAGAAATGAAGTCAAAAATGAAAGCTCATACAATGACAGAGGATGTAGTCTTTTGGAAATGGATATCATTAAACACTTTAGCATTGGTAACAGAGACTGCTGTTTATCATTGGTCTATGGAAGGGGAATCTACACCAAATAAAATGTTTGACAGACATTCATCGCTAAATGGCTGTCAAATAATTAATTATAGAACTGATCCAAAACAAACATGGCTACTACTGATTGGTATTTCTGCTCAGCACAATAGAGTGGTTGGTGCTATGCAACTTTATTCTGTGGAAAGGAAATGTTCTCAACCAATTGAAGGACATGCTGCTTCTTTTGCCCAATTTAAAATGGAAGGGAACGCAGAACCAAGTAATTTATTTTGCTTTGCTGTTAGAACGGTACAAGGTGCAAAGCTCCATATTATTGAAGTGGGTCAACCTCCTGCTGGTAATCATCCATTTCCAAAGAAAGCAGTGGATGTTTTTTTCCCACCAGAAGCTGGAAATGACTTTCCTGTTGCTATGCAAGTCAGCTCAAAGTATGACGTTATATATTTAATAACAAAATATGGTTATATACATATGTATGATATCGAATCTGCTACATGTATATTTATGAACCGTATATCTGGAGAAACTATTTTTGTCACTGCACCGCATGAAGCATCTGGTGGTATAATAGGAGTAAATCGAAAAGGTCAAGTATTATCTGTGTCCGTTGATGAAGAAAACATAATTCCATATATAAATGGAGTACTACAAAATTCTGAGCTTGCATTGCGAATGGCTGTAAGAAATAACTTGTCAGGAGCTGAAGACTTGTTCGTTAGGAAATTTAATTTGCTTTTCCAAAATGGTCAGTACGCAGAAGCGGCCAAAGTTGCAGCAAATGCACCGAAAGGAATACTTCGAACTCCAGCGACTATTCAACGGTTCCAGCAAGTACCAACCACACAAGGACAAACATCACCCTTGTTGCAATATTTTGGAATACTTCTAGATCAAGGACAATTAAATAAATATGAATCTTTGGAATTATGTCGTCCAGTACTTGTACAAGGTCGCAAGCAACTTCTTGAAAAATGGTTGAAAGAAGATAAGTTGGAATGTAGCGAAGAATTGGGTGACCTGGTGAAACAAGCTGATCCAACTTTAGCTCTCAGTGTTTATTTAAGAGCTAATGTCCCTAATAAAGTTATACAATGTTTTGCAGAAACTGGCCAGTTCCAGAAAATTGTATTGTATGCTAAGAAAGTTTCTTATACCCCTGATTATATATTTTTGTTAAGAAATGTCATGAGAATCAATCCAGATCAGGGTGTAGCATTTGCCCAGATGTTAGTGCAAGATGATGAACCTTTGGCTGATATCAATCAAATTGTGGATATATTTATGGAACAAAATATGGTTCAACAATGTACAGCATTTTTGTTAGATGCTTTGAAGAATAACCGGCCAAGTGAAGGAGCTTTACAGACACGACTTTTAGAAATGAACTTGATGTCCGCTCCACAAGTTGCTGATGCCATCTTAGGGAACCAAATGTTCACTCACTACGACAGAGCTCACATCGCACAATTGTGTGAAAAAGCTGGCTTATTGCAACGTGCTTTAGAGCATTATACTGATTTATATGACATTAAGAGAGCTGTGGTACATACACATTTACTTTCTCCGGATTGGCTTGTTGGATTTTTTGGGACACTATCTGTTGAAGATTCTTTGGAATGTCTGAAAGCAATGTTGACTGCTAACATAAGACAAAACTTACAAATCTGCATTCAAATTGCAACAAAATATCACGAGCAATTGACTACTAAAGCATTGATAGGTATTGATAATTTGTTATTTTAAACAGTTTGATTTGTGTTATTTATATTATTACGTATTAATTTTCGTATCTATTTAATATTGTCATTTTCAGATCTATTTGAAAGTTTTAAATCGTACGAGGGATTGTTTTATTTCTTGGGATCTATTGTTAACTTCAGTCAAGATCAAGAAGTACATTTCAAATATATTCAAGCGGCTTGTAAAACTGGACAAATTAAAGAAGTGGAACGAATTTGTAGAGAAAGTAATTGTTACAATCCAGAACGTGTAAAAAATTTCCTCAAAGAAGCAAAGTTATCTGATCAGCTACCTTTAATCATTGTTTGCGATCGATTCGATTTTGTACATGATCTTGTGTTGTATCTTTATCGAAATAATTTACAAAAGTATATAGAAATTTACGTTCAAAAAGTAAGTTTTCGTAATCTTGTCATCGTCTTGAATTTAATATTAAAGTTATAAATTTTATACTTACTAAACGTTATAATATAATACATAATCTCTAGAATTTTCTTTGTTATAATGATGGTTTAATTTTAGGTAAATCCGTCACGTCTACCAGTTGTTGTGGGTGGTTTGCTTGACGTAGATTGTTCAGAAGATATAATAAAAAATTTAATCCTTGTGGTACGTGGTCAGTTCTCTACTGACGAACTTGTAGAAGAAGTTGAGAAGAGAAACCGTTTGAAACTCTTACTTCCATGGTTGGAGTCTCGTGTTCATGAAGGTTGTGTTGAACCTGCTACGCATAATGCACTAGCAAAGATATACATTGATAGTAATAACAACCCAGAAAGATTCCTTAAGTAAGTAGATGTCTATATATTTTGATTTATAAAATATTTCTAAGTTTTTTATTAACTAAATTTTAATTTTACAGAGAGAATCAGTTTTATGACAGTAGAGTAGTAGGAAAATATTGTGAAAAACGTGATCCACATTTAGCTTGTATTGCATATGAGCGTGGTCAATGCGATCGGGAATTGATAAGTGTATGTAACGAGAATAGCCTTTTCAAAAGTGAAGCTAGATATTTGGTAAGACGTAGAGATCCAGATTTGTGGGCTGAAGTTCTTCTTGAAAGCAATCCCTACAAAAGGCCGTTGATTGATCAGGTGAGTTTATATCTAACGAAAGTGATGAAACTAACGTTAATAATTTTTAATCTGATAAAAATTTGTGTAATTTTAACTGTGGTTTTACGCAAGTGCTATGAAATTACCGAAAGATTTATTCGTAGGTCGTACAAACAGCTTTATCAGAAACACAAGATCCTGAAGATATATCAGTTACCGTTAAAGCGTTTATGACTGCTGATTTACCAAATGAACTAATCGAGCTTCTTGAGAAGATTGTACTCGACAGTAGCGTATTTAGCGATCATCGCAATTTACAAAATCTTTTGATTCTAACGGCAATAAAAGCTGATCGTACGCGTGTTATGGAATATATCAATCGATTGGATAATTATGATGCTCCTGATATTGCTAACATTGCTATTAATAATGAGTTATACGAAGAAGCTTTTGCCATTTTTAAGAAATTCGACGTGAATACTTCAGCTATCCAAGTTTTAATTGAGCAAGTTAATAACTTAGACAGAGCTTATGAATTTGCTGAAAGGTAGGCTATAATTTGTTGAATTATAAGCAGTTACTTAGTATACTAATGGACTAAATAATATAATTAGTTGAACGATTAATTACAATTAAAAATTAATGATGTCTGTTTCTGTAGATGTAACGAACCACCGGTATGGTCTCAATTAGCCAGAGCACAATTACAACAAGGTTTAGTTAAAGAAGCTATAGACAGTTTCATTAAGGCTGATGATCCGTCAGCATATGTAGACGTGGTAGAAACTACTCATCGAACTTCTCACTGGGAGGATTTGGTTCGTTACTTGCAAATGGCTCGCAAAAAGGCGCGTGAATCTTTCATTGAAAGCGAATTAATTTACGCATACGCAAGAACCAATAGACTTGCAGATCTTGAAGAGTTCATTTCTGGTCCTAATCATGCCGATATTCAGAAGGTTTAAATATTTTTATGGACATTATATACATGTGTTTATTCATATCATTTCTCAAACAAAAATTTATATTACTCGTTTTTAGATCGGCGATAGGTGTTTCGACGACAAAATGTACGATGCTGCTAAACTTTTATACAACAATGTATCGAATTTTGCACGATTAGCTATTACGCTTGTTCATCTGAAAGAATTCCAAGGTGCCGTCGACAGTGCTCGCAAAGCGAATTCAACTCGCACTTGGAAAGAAGTTTGCTTTGCCTGTGTGGATAGTGGGGAATTTAGATTAGCGCAAATGTGTGGATTGCACATAGTCGTACACGCTGACGAGTTAGAAGATTTAATCAATTATTATCAAGATCGGGGGCACTTCGAGGAACTTATTAATTTGTTGGAAGCTGCTTTGGGACTTGAAAGAGCGCACATGGGAATGTTCACTGAATTAGCTATACTTTATAGCAAATATAAACCTCAACGAATGAGAGAACATCTCGAACTTTTTTGGTCTCGAGTTAATATACCAAAGGTATACTATCAATTACATTTGAATGTTTGAATATGAACAAAATGAGGAAAAACTGTATTATATTTATTTGTAAAAAATTTGTAGGTACTTCGTGCAGCAGAGCAAGCACATTTATGGGCAGAGCTTGTATTTTTATACGATAAATATGAAGAGTATGATAATGCAGTTCTTGCAATGATGCAACATCCCACTGAAGCATGGCGAGAAGGTCACTTCAAAGATGTGATTACTAAAGTGGCAAACGTTGAACTTTATTACAAAGCTATACAATTTTATGTCGAATATAAACCCCTACTTTTGAATGACATACTACTTGTACTTGCTCCACGCATGGATCATACAAGATCAGTTGCATATTTTAAAAGAACAGGGCATTTGCAGCTTGTAAAGCCTTATTTGAGGTCAGTTCAAGCGTTAAATAATAAAGCAATTAATGAGGCATTAAACGGTCTACTTATCGACGAGGAAGATTATCAGGGACTCAGAACATCGATTGACGCCTTCGATAATTTTGATAATATCGCATTAGCGCAACAATTGGAGAAACACGAATTAATTGAATTTAGAAGAATTGCCGCGTATTTGTATAAAGGAAATAATAGATGGAAACAATCAGTTGAACTGTGTAAAAAAGATCGATTGTTTAGGTGAATTGTATTAACATTTTTAAAGATTCTATTTATATGAATTTTCATCATTTATTTTCATTTTCATTGTTTAATAATTTATGTCAATTGAATAGAGATGCTATGGAATATGCAGCAGAATCTCGTAATTCCGACGTTGCTCAAGAATTATTGGAATGGTTCTTGGAGAGAGGGTCAAAGGATTGTTTTGCCGCATGTCTATTTCACTGTTATGATTTACTTCATCCAGATGTTATTCTAGAACTTGCGTGGAGACATCGTATTTTACATTTCGCTATGCCGTATCTTATACAAGTTGCACGAGAATATATTAGCAAGGTAATATTATTTATAATTTAATTATTTAATTATTGATTTTTAAAATTATGCTAACGATATGTACTTCAATAGGTTGATAAGTTGGAAGAAGCTGAAAGCCGACGTATGGAAGAAACTGATCATCAAGAACATAAACCTATGATTATGCGTGAGTACTTTCGCCTTAAGAAGACTTACTGCTCGTTCAACAAATTGAAAAGCAAATATTTTTGTGGAATTATTTTTACGTATATATTCTTTTGTTTTTATAGCGGAACCTCAGTTAATGTTAACAGCAGGACCCGGTATGATGGCACCTGGTTATGCACCACAAGGTGTATATGGTGCACCGCCACAAGGCGTTTATGCACCAACTGCAGCGGCGTACCAGGCTTATGGTATGTGAAACACAATGTGCAACACGTTCAATGACAGAGATCAACAAAATCTACTTTTCTATAATATCTAGGTAGAACAGATTATTTCAATAGCTCACAATTATATAAAATGCTAAAACAATATCATTAAAGAGAAACGCGTTGCTGCAAAATAACTGTATCATAAATAAAGATAATGAATTCAAAGTAAACTACGAAATATTTAAGCGTGAATTTCTAGTTTATGAGTAACATTTATAAAATAATTAATTTACTGTTAAAGTAATTAAAAAGTTCATTGTTTACGGAAAATGAAAATAACCGTAATAAAAACAAAAAAAAAAAAAATACTTAAATATTTTGTGAATACAAGATGTCATGTAATAAACCTTTAAACGAGTATGCAATAGTAATAATTTTAGTAATTCATGTTATATTAAAACATTCTACCAATTGAATTGGAAGCTTCACGAAGTAAATACGACATAGTTTCATTGAAATATCGATGTATTGCGTACGTGCCTTTGTTTAAGTATTGGAAACAAAAGTTTTAGTTTAAGGTAACATAAAATTAACAATATTAAAAATAAATACTTGTAAGTTTCAATTCAATAAATGTGTCACCAAATTACGAAGTGCTTCCTTTTTAGTAAAAAATAAAAGAAAAAAAAAAGAAAGAAAAAGAAGAAGAACAAAACTGGATTAAAAATATTTAACAGATTATTGAGAGAAACAATAAGTACTCAAAGCTGACATATTATATTCGTATCCATCCAATGGAAAATTAAGTGTGGGAAAATTTTATTCTAATATATATAATTTATAGTAATAAAAAAAGGATCTATTTATTTAAATTTATTAAAAACGTTGTTGTCGCAGTCAAATACACGAGCCTCAAAATATCTAGCAAAATAAAAGAAAGCAGCATATATCAGTACATCAGTATAATGCGAAATGAAGCTAAGAAGTCTGTAAACTGTACGTAATGTATCTAGAAATTTAAATATAGTAAGATATGAAATACATTTGTATGTCTATCAGTATATAAATTTAATATCTATGTGTGTTATTGTTGTGGCATGGATAAATAACTTTAGCATTTGACCAGGCAGCCAAATTGTGAGATATAGAATAGTAATGTTATATGCTCTCCTAAAGGAAAAGGAAAAAAAGAAAAAATAACGATAATGAAGGTAGCTCTCTGATATACTCTTATTAGCAGAGAACATATTTAATCTATTGAAAATATAACAAACTTTATAACGATCTCGTCATATTGATGTATGGATATATGTACTGAAACTTGTTTATGCTGGCTTACAATATTATGATCTTATTTTTTTTTTGTACACATTACATTAAAGTATTACAACACTTGTAAAGAAAGTGGAGGTGTTATAAAGACATATGAGCTAGGTAATAATTTTATTTCTAATGTGTTTAATTTTTCTAGAAATATAATTTCAAGTTTTTTTATTTTACTTATTGTATTTGTTTTATACAGTGTATGTATAATGTCCTATTTGGATGTATTGTTCGTTATATCATTGTATTAATGTATAATGAAATTACGATACGAGTATTAATGCAAGTTGGATAACCAGATTCCATACATATTGAGAATGACAGAATCATTGACGTTTCTGCTCGTTAAATGATTCACATCGTTTGTATAAAATGCTCTATTAATAAATCAGGATCAGTGTACAAGATATATCGGAAAAAATAGTATATTTTTCTGGCATATCTTACATTCAATGTTCCTAAAAGAGCAACATTATTGCGTAAGACATTTTGAGTGACATTTTTTTCTGTCATATATCGTAAAAGGAATAGGCGATATGCACTTGCAAATTGTTCTCATTATTTATATACATATAAAATGAACGTTGGAAATTGAGAAAAAAAATCGTACTATCGCAATAATATGATAAACTATTGTGAGCAAACTTTCGTTTGCAACGATTGCAGTCATTTTAACTGCATATATTAAATGAAAAGTTAAAATTAGATGATGCAAAGAAGAGTCTGTAACATTCCCAATAATCACTTCACTTTCATTAAAATTATATAATGAATAAAAATATAGATTAAAAAAATGTATCTAATGCCTGCTGTTCTGCAGACAAGATCGTAATGTAATTGTATCATTGTTTGAATATTGTGGATTATAATAAAATATTAGTAAATTTAGAAATAAATATACCAAAATTGGTTGTTAATTACATAAATATACATATACATGATCAAAATCATATACCTGTAATGTTGAAAGTCAGTATAAAATGTGAGACATTTATCGCTATTGAATTTATTTCAATAAACAACTGTATGACTTGAATATATAGTTTACATTAATTTTATGATCCTATTTATATTTTTATTTATATATTTATATATCAGTGTTAATTTGTCTCAACACCATTTTTTCAGGTACTTTAATATCAAACATGATTAAATATCTTTTCGTAAGAAAAACAAATTATTTAAAAAATTCTCTTTTCTTCAATTAATTAATTAATTCTTCTTCAAAAAGGAATGTATTTCCATTCTATTCTATATATATTTTATCTCAATTTTTATTAGCTTAGCTGACAATCAATACCAAAATTAGTTTCTTTCAAAATACTGGGTAAACATTTCTTCAAGATAAAATAAATTTTTTAACACTTTTGTTTTTTACAGAATAAATTACTTCATGTGTTAACATAACATTTTGTAAAATAATAATAATGCTCTGTATATTAATATTGGAAGAAAAATTTATTTCTAATTTTACAGAAATTGTAGCACTTTTGCTATAGTTCATATATACGTCCACATTTAAACTTTTTTATTGTTCGTTCAGTAGGTTTTATAGAAAGATCTTTTCCAAAGAACTCTAGTTTGATATCCTTCAAATGCATATTCATAATAACAACATCTTTGGGTATTGCTGAAAATGAACATATATTAATAATAGAAGAAAGGAATAATAATGAGAAAAAATATAAATTACATACTTCGTATAATATTATCTTTTCCACAAATTCTAAAAATATTTTTAGTGTCTTGAACAACTATACCACTTAATCCAATCAGACTAGGACACTTTGCTCCAACAATAGAAACTTCAGCACCATGAAAATCTGCTTTAATTAACTGTTGATTAACATTTTCCCAATTCGGATCAGTTGGATCTTTTGGAATGTTATCGAGAAACTTGGGACCAAGCACTTGCTGCATGTAATTTAACCACAATTGATTCAATGGTAATAAGTCCTCGTATTTCATACCATTCACCTGGCAACTAATTTTACGTAAGCCAAGTTGCATACGTTTTCTATTAGTTAATAACTTTCCTTTGCATTGTTTCTTTTTGTTCCATTTGCTTTTGTGTTTACCCAGTATCAACGACTATAAAATATAAATATTCATTATATGAAATTTGATTAATAATATGATAATTTAATGTATTCTGTCTTTTCTACCTTTCTTAATTCATTTGCTATCGAGCCGGTATCAGTGGAAGGCAATGCATTTTGTAGAAAATTCGTGATATATTGTTCACTGTTTTCACACGTACTAATTTGTTTCGTTATACTTTTAGGCAATATTGAACATATGCTTTCTATAACAATTAACTACAACATCATATCAGCATATATTAATGTATAATTTATTAATTTATAGGATACGTACGATTTGTTTGTGCCATTGTCACGTGTTCGACCTCCCAATGTCACTGCGAGTCTCTGCCATAACAAATAGTCCATTATCTCATTTCAATTTCTGTCTCTAAGGCCGGTTAGACTATCATCATGGTTCCATCTGGTGCCGATACGCTTCATTTAATATCTACGAGTTCGACATCTACAAATTCCAGCCAAGGTGAGTTAGTCGTGGCTGACGGATCGAAGACGGATCTTGGATTAAGTGGCAATGCTTGTGGGACAGATAACTCGGATATGATATTTGTCTGTGCTCATAGTCTCCTTAAGGATATGGAATACGTGAAGACCAATCTTAACTCTGATCCTAGCCTCGAATTTCTTATCCCAGCAGTTGCTGCATGTAATTTACATCTAATCTGGGGCCAAAGGTCGCCGTTATTCAGCTTCATTGGCTGGTAGAGACGAAACGCAATTTTTTTTTTTCATCTAAATTTCCCTTCCGACACGATCATCCTTTTCCCTCATGTTATTCAGGCACTTGCGCCCTTTGGCTTGGACGTTGACAATGATAGTCAATAATAACATTATCACCAAAAATGTATCACGTCAAAGTTGATGTATTTTACTATACACTACACCAATATTGCAGCAGATAAGATAGAAAGTATAAACATGAAGTATTAATAGTTATTAATACGTCATACTCATAAATCTTTCTTCGAGAATTGTCATATATTATGTTTTGCTTTATGTTAAACATTTGAAAAACATGCTCTTAGGTTAGCTTAAATCCAAATATGACTAACCCATGTGTGTAAATATTTAGGAATTTATTTCTGTATTAATTTAATGGCGATGATATTTTCTTCCAAAAGTCTATGAAACTTAAAGCAAACGCTGTAAAAAAACAAGACAGCGCATAATTGCATTGTATATATAGATTACTTGATAAGCAGAAGCAAAACAGGTTTATTTACTCAAACTGATTTCGTAAAAATGATAAGTCATCTACATATTAGAAATTGAATGGAAATTAAGGAAATAGAAAGGAGAGAGATCAGGTTTCTTTCGTAAAATCGTAAGTAGAATTTGTTCACTTTCACCTTGATTCAAAATTGCATTATCAATTTTAGTGTAAATATTTAAAAAATAGGATGTCGTAATACTGTTATTTAATTTATATTCTTTTAACATTGTTTAGATATAGAATGGGCTATCCAATAATTAACAAAATAAAAATTCTACATGAAAAAGATAGTCAAAAATATGAAATAAAATTTAAAAATTGATTAAGTTCGGGTATATTAGGTTAGGCTAGTTCTTAACTGAACAAGTTCAAATCCTTATTTTCTTCGGAATGAGGTCTTAAACGAATATTTTTAATAATCTTTTACTGATTATCTATTCGTCTCCAGTCGATAATTAACCAAGTTCGTGCATACTGAATGAATTTTCAAATTTGATCTCGTAGAAGATAAAATACCGTATGCAAAAATTTTATTCTACATTATGTTCTATATTTTTTCACATAGAATCGTCGATCATACTACAGTTATTGAGACAACTTATATATTGCACTTTACAAAGCATAACTCGAAAAATAATTTGTTTGCGATGCGTGCAAATGAAATTACACTGTCCAACGACGAATAAATATATTAATATAGGTCAATTTGTCCATATACTAACGAATTAACTAATATTTTATTTGGAAAAAAATAATATGAAAATAATAAGAACGTAACCGGATCTTTATTTTATTAATCTTAGAAACGAAAGTTAGAAACTCTCAGGAGAGAGAACATCGAAGAAAAAGAATCAAGAAAAGAAACTAGAAACAGTTATGCGGTATATGCACTTACTGACGTTACTGATTACTACTTGAGTCGAAAGTCGTGGACAATCGTGGCATGTATGAACGGACTGTGGCTCGCTGTGTAGTGAATTAACCATGTTAAGACGCATATTTGGCATCGTAGAAATCAATTGAAAATAATAAAAAATGGTGTCACTAATAAAGAAGCAGTTGTTGAAACATTTATCAAGGTATTTACATGATTGAACTATCAAATGAATTTCATTATCTTCTATTAAAAATTGTACCACCCTTAATTAAGTTGAACAAGCAAGTTAGAATTGTGGATAATCTTGTTCATCTTGTTAATTAGCATTATTGTTATTATTGTTAAATTACTGATTTGTTTTTCTTAACAATCGTTGATATGCATGTTAACATGACAAGTTGCTGATGGTTGTTTAAAATGGCAATATGTTTATGAGAATTTATGTAGGTTTACCAAGAACTTATCAGCAGATAAAATAAATTTAAGCACGTTCAAAGGAGAAGGTGAACTGACAAATTTGGAACTTGACGAAACGGTATTGACTGATTTGTTAGAGTTACCTTCGTGGCTTAGATTAACAAATGCTTGGTGCAATAAAGTTTCATTTCGTATTCAATGGACCAAGTTAAGAAGTGTTCCTATTTTCCTGGTAAATAACAAGTATCTATTCATATAAAGGATATATTTATACATATTTATTCTTTATGTGACAACGTAATTTTTATTAATATTATATAGTTAACAATATGTTATATTACCATTTTGATTGGATTTTAATATTTATAGAGTTTGGATGAAGTTCATATAGAAGTAGAAACATGCGAAGATTTAAGAGATTTATCATCTTCTCAAGGGCTATCTTCCTATACTGGTCCTGCAAAATATTCTTTTATACATAAAGTAATTGATGGCATCACAGTAACTGTTAATACTGTATCAGTTACATTCAAAAGTCCTGCATTCATTGCTTCAGTTCAAGTATGTAATGTTATTGATTGATTGATAATATAATTTGTATTTTTACTAAAATCTACTGTAAGTTATTATCTTGTTACAGATGAATCGCATTATTGTGGAATCCAAATCTGCAACATGGCAACGGTGTGATCTGAGAACTACTAGAGTAAAAGATCCTGATCGTGGACAGTTACTTATTTTTAAAGAATTGGAATGGCAAACAGTTAGAATAGAGGCACAAAGTACTAAAGATAAAAACCTCACGCCATTACGTTTACTTACAAATCAAGCTAGATGTCGGATTACTATTAAGAAAAGAATATCAGGTTAAAAATATTTTAATACATAATAAATATGCATGTTATTCTTTTTCTTTTCAAAAGATAATATATGCATTTGTATTTTAGATTGTTTTGTTATGGGATCAAGACTGATTCTTATATTAGATGATCTCTTATGGGTTTTAACAGATTCACAATTGAAGGCAGCACTTCATTTTATTGACTCTTTAGGTGGTCTAATAGAAAAAGCTACAATATTAGAACGTAAAACCAAAGCAGCTAGAAAACTTGAGGTTTGTAAATATACAATTAAAGAAAAAAAGAAAAAGAAATAAAATCATTTTTATGGTTTCAGGTATTGCCAGAATATCAAGCACAAATATCTCAGCAATCAAGGACAAAAAATCAGTGTAATACTGCTATCTCTAAAATCTTTACCAGATATGATGTTGTAGAAACTTCATATCATTTCCTTTGTCAAAGAATTGATTTACACTTATGTGATGATGCTGGTAGTGAGTATATTTAAATTTTTTATTAGAATAATGTAATAAATATAATAACAACAACAATGATAATAATGCTTCTAATATTATTTATTTTCTATGTAGATGGTAGATCCTCCCATCCTGACTTAAAGGATGGTGGTGCATTGCAAATTTCACTAGTTAGATTTCAAGTTGATTATTATCCATATCACTTAGCAATGGCTGATAGAAAACATTGGGCTAAGTATAAAGAAAATGCTACACCTCATAGTCAATGGCTACAGCAGTCGTTAAGTTCTTTTCGAAGTCAGTTTATGGATCTTATAGATTCTGGCAGAACACAGCATTCTCCTTTAACCAGAAGTCAAGGAAATGTTACGGGTTCGTATAATTTAAAAAGTAAACAATCAATTCCAATTGTAGTTTTTAGTTAGTTATTAACAAAATACTTTTTGTTATTCTTATTCAGTTAATAATACAAAAGGTTTGGGAGATAATTTGGAAAAGAGTAATCAGTTACAAAATGTAAATACAGCTGCTGATGAGAAAAAAAAATCTCAACATCCTAGTGGAAATCCAGTAAAAAATTATATTTTGGAACAACTTGCTAAATTAATGACGACGTGCATTATTATAAGGATCGATGATTTTACGTTGTACAAAGTAACCACAACGTCTCGTAATCCTGTACCTAAAGAATTTGTTACGGGTATGTGTAAATTTCGCAATGATCAATTTAATTTATTTAATAGGTTTATTTTTTAAAATTATCTTTTCATATGAAGCTCCCATATAAAAAATCAATAATTATTTCGTTTAATAATTGCACAGCTCAAACAAGGAAGAAACATGCATCAGGTACAGATTATAAACAGTAGTAGTATGTTCATATTAATATCACATTATAAGTACCACTTAAACATAGTTTCATGTTTGAGAAGTTTTGTTGCTTTGTGTGTTATGTTGCTATTATATCTCGTATCTGTTATATAATCGAGCATTAATTTTCAACTTGGCACAAAACATTTATAACAGCAGTTCTAGACATGTGAATATTTAGTAACATATGTATAATTAATCTGAAGCATAATTATTATACAGTTAAAATATAACCATAGTATAATTGGCTTTTGTAAAGCAGATATTTTAAGTAAAATTTTTTAAATGTTTTTTTTAAAAGATATAGTTTTATTGTTGCAATTAATATTCAATAATTTTTTATATATGTTATATTTTGCAGTTATTTTGCAAAAAAATTAAAAACGAACCATAAAAGTAACTGTAAAAAAGAAACTATAATTTGTTGTATCATTTTATAAGAAAGCTGTTGTATCTTTTAAAAGGACTTGTGATGAAAAGATTTGTTGTATTTATTTTACAGCTCCTAAGGACTATGTTGTGTAGATATAAACTGTAATACAATCATTATGATTTGCATTTTGTAATATGTAACATATAACATTATGTGAATTTTTATTATTGTATGAAGTATATTCATAACGCATGTATGTTATTGGAGAATATATTTACATTTCTATTACATTTTATTGAAATATTTTTATGTTGCTTAGGTGACAGAGACAAGTTTTGTCTTCCAGAAGATGTTACAATTGTTCATGCTGAATTTACATATTATTACTATCCTGGAGATATTACATTTCCATGTAAGTAAACATAATTATTGTGTTATCATTTTAATTTGAATAAATTAATCTACAATTTCATCTGTAAATGTTTAGTGCCACCTCCAAAATTTTATGTACAACTGAATCCTATCCAAGTAAATTTTGACGTCTGTTCCTGTTTATGGTTTAATTCTTTTGCATTAAATTTATATAATTCTTTAATGAATAAGGATAAACAACCAATGTATACTTCCACTAATTTAATGTATTTTGATGTGAAGATTGAAGCTATACTTCCAAGGGTATGTACTGAGATATTTATGTTATAATTTAAAATTTCCACTATTATATTCACAACATAATTGTTACTTTCAGATAGTTTTTGAAAGTCAACAAGATTATCCTAATCAGAAAGATAGGCCAAAGTCTCTGCATATACAGACGTCGAGAGCGTCAATAACAAATGTTCGATCCACAGAAAGATCTTCAAGAGCAGATTTAGCACAATGTGTAAATGCTTTTCAAATGGGTCAAATGTTTTTTACTACAGATTTTCCAAACAGATTGAATGATTTTCATGTTCTTACAGATAAATTTTTGGCACATTGTGCAGGTAATTTTATTACTATATGTGCTTATTTTCTATATAGTTTTATGCAAGAATTTCACATTTATTTATTTATTATAGGCACTGATAATATTCGTCATCCACCACCTAATTTTAGTAGTAACTCTGTAAACGAATTAGTTCGTCAATTACATCGGGAGCTTTTGTGGACCGAAACTAAAGACATATGGTGTTGTAATTTGGAACCCGTTTGGGGAGATTTTCTCGGTGCTCGCGCGGTCGGACAAAATCGTCCTGTACCGTTCCTTGATGCATTTCCTTTGACTTTATGGTGTTACATATCTATGAAATCGTCAGAGAAAGATTCGTCAGAAAATAAATCTACCGCTGACATTCATGGTCTTGCGTACATAAGCAATTTAGTTAGCGTTCAGATAAATCATTATCAATATTTGTTCTTGTTAAGATTATCGGAAGTTCTATCAGAAATGGCAACATATCTAAATATCGACTCTAATAAAATTTTGAAGATCGATTGCGGTAGTTCACTTGTTATTGGTGCATTGATACCGCAAGTAGAAGTAACATTCGTCATGCCGTCGCATACTCCTGGTAAAGAAAATTCTGGAGGAGATTTGGAATCTGTTATGCCAGATTCGTCTAGCATAGCAGATGACATTCCAGGTTCATCTATTCCATGGCAAAGTACAGAACGAGTTGAGAGCAGCGGTAAAAAGATTAATATAAATAATGAAACGATAACGCCACAGAGTGATATATCGTCAATGTTATCAATGGATTTTATGCATTCTAATACACCTCAAACTGTCGTGACATTTAAACAAAATGGTACGAATAAACATGAAAATAATGCGCAAATAAGAAATGTAACATATGATAAACAGTGCATTGGTGTAGAAGAGGAGAAAGCATTGCCTACTTTACGATATGCTGCTGATATTACACATAAACACAGCAAGGGAGATTCATCTTCAAATACACCGTTCATTTCCAATAATTTCAATGTTGGTCTTTTTTCTATGAAAAAAGGATTAAGTAATTTGATGACATCTATTGATTCAGCTTTGAAAGCATCTCCAGAAGATGGTAGTAGTGATACTATGTCTATAAGAAGCGATGTTAGTTCTGATAGTGAAAACTATGTTTTAATTAATCTTCAAGATCAAGAAAAATTAGATGCAATGTTTTCTGTTGATAATTCAATTAGAATAACAGCAGTAGAAGAAGCTAGCGAAGTAGTGGAAGAAACTCCTGATACTCAGAGTGAAAAATCTATGGATAGTGTGTGTAAACGAAAAGATATTGTAAGTCTATGTTTTATAATGTAATAACGTAACATAATTGAAGACTTCAATATCTTGATTAGATAAAATCCTTTTTAGGTATCTATGGCAACATTCAAGTTATCTAAAGTTGAATTTATTCAACAATCCCTAGGATATGCATCTTCTATTAAAGTTCAAATTTCAAATATTGGTAACGACGAATGTTCATCTATTCCATGGGATGAATTTCAGGTAAGATTACATTTTATTTACGTAAATTATAAATTTCTTGTTTGCTGATTACATACAATATGCTATTGAATCTATTAAATAGATTTAAATATTGAAATTTTTTTAAATATTGCTGCAATCAAAATTATATTGTTCTTTAGTATTTTTTTCATATAATGATTTTATTAGGAAATTTTAACTTTTTTTTTTCTATACACTGTATAAAGTGCTTCTTATTGTGTACAGACTTGGTATATTTCTGATTTAACACAGATTTAATCATTTATAGAGAGAATATTGCTCTAAAATTTATGTTATAATATGTTACAATTTATTAAGAGTATATTAAAATAGTTATACAGTATTTTTTCAGATAATATATGATTTTTTTTATATAAACTTGGAATGTATTAATGACTAACATTTTATTCCTAGTTACATACTTCGTGTGTCACAAAACTTTTTCAATTTTATTTCTAGCTTTATATCACATACATTACAAACATTTTATACTATATATGTATATTTATACAATGTTTGTCTTTAACTTTTTTGCATGCTTCTCCTGCGTCTCTCCTTCTCTTGTGAATGTTTTTATGTGGCACTTGTGGCAGGTCAAGAGAAAGGTATTGGCAAAGTACTCATATATCTTGTATTAAATGCCTTGTATTGTATACATTTTATTGCATGTTTATTTCTTCTGAATTATGTCACTATACTGTACAAATTGCATATATATAAATTTCTTATTAATCGTTTTAATAAAATGTAGGTAATAATTTGCAGTTTTTTAACTATTGAAATATAAATGATTAATTTGTAGAGTATATGACAATTACGTACAAGTTCATTAAATTATTAAGTTGCGTAATTAGCAGTAAATATTTTATTATTATTTTTCTATTTGTGTAAACAAACAAATTATATAAATATTTTAAAAGTATACATTTTTAGTTTTATAAAGGATTTAGCTTCTTGGCTTTTAATTTCATAGTATGTGTACTCAAAGTATAATAACTTCATGTAGCATGGTATGAAATAATGCTTAGCCGGAATGTATTTGAGAAGCTTTCAAATACAACTACAATTATATCTATTTTATATAAATTATAAGGAAATGAAACTACCTTGCCTATAAAATAAATTCTCATAGCTTTTTATGTGAAATTTATTATATATTAATGTGACAAAAAGTTAATAATTGCAATATTTTTATTTAAATGTTACATATTACATACCATAAAAATAGTCTGCTTATAAAAAAGCTAATATTAAGAAATTGTTCTTACTATTTAATATATGCAAATAATAATTTATTCTTGAATGATTTATTTTCTATAATTTCATATTTATAGTTTAGTTTTAAAGTGTTATGAATTGATTAAAGGATAAGAGAATATTCTGTTACATAGTAGCAACTGTGATATGATTTCAATGTCATACATATATTTTTTGTTTTTTATTAGACAAAATTCAGTGCACGATCTCGAGGTTGGGTCGAATTACCTTCAGATTCTAACTGTAGATCATGTATTAAACTACGTTTGGATCATGATTTGAAATGCAAGTCAGATTCTTGGAAATTGTCTCAAGCAAGTCAAACTATGAGTAATAAGCATTTATCTCGAAATCAAAATCAAAATCAAAATCAAGATAATGCAACTGAGGAAGAGATAGATGTTTCTAGTGTTGATGTACATAACAGACAAAGTGTTTTGGATTTATTTGAAGACAAGTTAGAAGTTAAAGTTACTAATATATCAATGTCCTTGTCTATGAGTTCAATAAGTGGACTTACTGATTTAACTGAAGATGAAATTATACCTAGGCCAATACCATTGCAAGTATGTTAAATTTTTAATATTATTTATTTTACCTTTACTTTTAGTTATATTTTTATCATTTTTTTCCTTATTGCAGATATATTTGGAGAGTATATCCTTGCGTTTAAACGAAGATCGTCCTCCGAATAATATAACTTCGCCAGGACCAATTCCTATAGATCTAAATATTGCAAAGCTTAAGATAGTACGAGATGTAAATGGAGTTTTTCATATCGAACCAGTTGGTAGGTAACAATTTAAAATGTAGTTCTGTTGTTATTACTCGCCACTTATTATTTTTATAAAAGGAAACTATAATTTTTAATATAGTTAGTTATAGTAGAGTTAGTCTTTAATATAATAAGTTTTTAAAGTACATTTAAGTGGCAAATTCTTTTATTTATTTTTTTAAAATTAATATTATACATTGTATAATTATTCTGTGCATTCAGATGGCCTTTCTAATGTGAGCATTTATACAAAACAATAAGAAAAATAGTAGTAGCATTTATTGCTTTAATAATATCGTTTAATATGATAGTAGAATTTTAGATTTATTTTTAATTAGGCATGTTTTATTTTTTTTCAAATCAAAAGAAAATAATTTTCACTTATTATCACGTACGCTTATGAAAATTGCTTAAAATGTATGCAGTTTATGAATTAGCACGAACAACATTTATACAACATTCAGGTACAAAATATTGTCATATTGTCACATTGGTTTATAACACTGCTTATTATGTTCACAGATAGTTTAGATAGTATAAAATATATTATTTAGTCACCATATATATATGTATATTCAATAAAAAATATTTAATTTTCTAATTTGTTAAAAGCAATTTTTCATTAGAAGCATAACATTTTTATGTGTTTTATAGATTACTATAAAATTTTTTCACATACTTCTATTATTAATCTAATTGAGACATTTTATTTCTAGTAAACTTGAGCAGGAGTAATTCCCTTGAAACACTCACAAACAATGATACACAAATAGCCCAAAATATAAATCACGAAATGGAATTAAGTATTTTGAGACAGTCTAGCAAACAGTTAAAATCAGATAATGAACAGCTTCGGCGTCGCCTTAATGCTTTGGAGAAATTATCAGAAGAAAATGCGAAATTAATACGTATAAAAGAAGAGTCTAATGTAATAAAATCTCATTTAAGTGCAGCACAAGAAGACATACAATTACTTCTGAAAGAGAAGAGAGCTTTGCAAGAAACAGTAACGGAGCTCCAAAATCGAATAATTGGAAATAATCCAGGCAGTGGTACTCGTGCATCTTGGTCATCAAAGAGATAGCATACCAGTTGTTTTGATTGTTCTAAATGTTGCAATTCGAATAAGTTATAATAATTTATTAACTGTCAAGTAAAATGAAAATGGAACTTGACACAGTTGATTTAATATGTTTTCATAGCATCTCTATTAAACTTGAAGGAAGATCATCATGTTAGAATGCTTGGATTTTCATTATTGTACGAATCTAGTATATTAAACTGATTTTTAAATTTTATAAAAGGAAGATGAATAATATATTTATATGTTACAAGCAACAATTTTCTGAGTTCACTTCCATGTTTTCTATATTATCTTGTCTACAATATTTATGCTAGTAACTGCCGTTCAGCTATTTAATAGTGCAATCATTAAAAAAAAAAAAATTCAGTTCTATAAGACATGACTTATGTGAAAAACACTGTTTTTTTTTTTTTTTTTTTTTTTTTTTTTTACTACAAGCAAGTACAAGGCGATAAATAATGGCAATAGTAGTCAGTATTTAGCATTTTCATTAATAAACAAATAAACAAAGGATTGATGAAATGACTATTCTAGCTACATTCGTATTTATTATATGCGATAGCGTATGTATGCGACATATATTAAAAAGTGATGTATATATGAGATGTTAATATTTGCACGCGCGCACACACACACACACACACACACACACGCGCGCGCGCGCGCATAATATAATTATATGATATATATACATATATCTCACATATATAACATATATATATTATTTGTTGCATATATAAATACGTATACATAAATTATAGTATGCTAGTCAAATTATTGCAATATATATTTGGTTTTATAGCAGTGGTTGTTACCTAGTATGATAACAAAGAGTTGAATATAAATTTTTTACCAATGCTTTTCGTTCTCCTCATCGTAAATGTTCGACGAATTTCATAAGCAACTTTTAACTGAATGGAAGAATATAATGTAATAAATGTGAGATATTAATGGATATTGAATGATAAACTGTTCGAGCCTACAAGTAGATTGTCTAGATTGAAATTAGTGAGAAGAGATTCTACATGCGAGCGTGAGCGCGCTCTTGAGAGAGAGAGAGAGAGAGAGAGAGAGAGAGAGAGAGAGAGTGTGTGTGTGTGTACGCGCGCGCGTACATATATATATATATATATATATATATATATATATATATATATATATATATATATATGTTATATGTGTATATATATATATATATATATACACGCACTCAGTGATCTAAATAATTGCGTGATAAAAATGAAATGACTATAATATACAATATACAGTGATAATCTAAAATGTTTTGATAAGACTGTAAAATCGATGTTATTTCCTGTGTCACTCCCTGTATTTTCATTAAACTAAAAGTATACATTGATTGATATTTACCATCTTACCTTGGAAATGAAAAGTATTGAACTACATTAAACCAAAATTAGTAGTGTATTATACTAGACTAATAATTTCGTCTCATTGTTGTTGTGATATCTTAATATTTCATCATTATTCATTGCAGTAAATTTAGTTTTCAGTATGGGTTGCTGGCCAACCGTCTTGTTAAAAAACAGTGAGGTATTTTTCTAATTTTGTGTATTAATAATAATTGCTAATTAAATTTTTTTATATATTGTGAAGTTTTGTTTAAGAAAAAAAGAGAGAAAAACAGTCTTTCCTACTATGGCACTTTTATTAAAATTAAGATTAATTTTTTTAAAAAAGTAAATGTAAAATAAAATTTTGTAATTAATACATATTAATGTGAAATATTGGAAGTACAATTTTTTTTACGTTTGAGCATTCTGTAGAACAAAACTCTTGATCATGTTCTATAATATTTTTTTAATTTAAATAGAAATATTTAATTGTGCAATTAGATCTAGACATTACATTATCTCATTACTATATCTATACTACTTTTTTAAATGTTATATTTAAAAAATTTTGTATTTGAAGTTTTATATACAAATTTTGATGATTGAAGAATTTTTTATCATTTTTATTGTAGTAATAATAATAAATTAAAATGCAATGGGACATGATCAAAAAATATAGACAGCAAAATTTGAATTTATTATGAAAATATGCTACATATATTATAGTAGAATGAACTGTATACAGGGTGTTGCGTAACTTGTGGGGTCCACTTCGGGAGCTGATTGTACGCCTAAAAATAATGAAAAAAAGTCATATAAATACATGTCCTATCTGTCTTCGTTTATGAGATATAATGAATTTTCTGTTTTAATTACTTTTACAAAAGATGCTCGAAAAATGACCATCTTGCATTTGAAGACAAGCCTGCACGCGTCTTGTCATTCATCTGGTTGCTCTCTCTATCATTCCTGGTGTTTCTCGAATTTGTCGGAAGCCTTGCTCTATTTCGTAGTATTTCAGCATTTTCAATCTATGTTGCGTATACAATAGATTTTAGGTGTCCCCATAAATGAAAATGTAATGGATTCAAATTCGGAGAACGAGCAGGCCATGCAATAGGACTTCCACGACCAATCCATTTATTTGCAAAGTGTTGATTTAAAAATTGCCTAGC